CGCGAGCGGGATCAAATATAGGTAATTCGATATTTGATAAAGGTCTAAACTTTTGTAAAAGAAGATATTGATATGTGACAAATTGAACGTACAATCCTTACCCCTGACACACATTTTCTGGAGTGTATAAACAGTATTATCTTAAAGGTCATGATGTATAGCACATACATTTTGAGAACATATGAACATGTCAACATAACTTAGCAACTGTTTGATCTATTTGGGTCAGTTACATTTGTTGAAAATCACTCAGCATGCGAAAGATGTGGATCTATCTTGTAGTAATAAACGATATTTTTACTCTCGTGATCCATTTAACTTTTTAAGGCCACAATAAATGTTACAAGCTGCATATGTATAGGCAAGGATGTTTACTAAGCGCAAGTTTGTTGCTAAGTTATAGAACTAGAACTTAAAGAGAATTGATTATATGGTGATCCTGTCTCTGAAAAAATGTCATTGTACTATAGCTAGTTAACTCATCTTCAATATTTAGTTTTAGTGTTTGTTAATTGTAATGTCATTGACATTCAAAATAATTGTAATTTTAAAGTAAGATTTGACATTTTTGACAGCTTACACTGTATCTACATTCTAAACAATGTAATGCATTTACCTATGCGACAGGTTTGATAAATATTTGAAGTTGCTGATAGACATGCTTTCGAATGGCGGCTATAAAGCTGACTGAGTCATCAACTTGACATATCCAAGCGACATGTGCACTCAGACATACTCTTGTCGACGTACATATCCTCTACATGGCGTCTCCTCAATGTGACGTGTCATTAAGGTCTAAGGTCACCTATCATAATTAATCAGGGTGATAATTATCTGCACATATATTGAAACATGAATATTGAAAACACCTTTCTGGTGTCATAATCAAATTAAACAAATTCTTAAAGTATTGTCATTAAATGGGAGTAATGGTGAGTCTGGTAAACTTAACAACCTCTTTAATATAATGAAACTGCTAAGAAATTAGTACTTTTCATAAAACAGCCAGTTATGCTGTGTGAAAGTTAGGAGGTGTAAAAGAGGATCCAAATAAATTTATCTATATTATACGGCTAAAATAAAGATATCATTCATCATTAAGATAATGAAGTTTGATAAAAAAAAAGAAGATGCGGCTTAAATATTTCCTTGGGAAACTAAGGATAAAGCCGTGTGTGTTTAAGTGGTTGATTGTGGAAAGTGTGTTAATTATATAGAGTACCTGTCAAGAAATTGATATTTTATGACCTTCTACGTACTTATAGTTAAAGGCCACAGACTTGTAACCACACCATGATCTCGTATTTGTTATATAATGGTGTATTGTAGAGTTGTCCTGTTATACGATACACATAGTTACGTGTCTAAGAGAAGCTACCTAGGATTGATAGCAAAAGGTATTGTGCAAATAATGACCTGCTCTGGAATTAAGTTACGTTTTACGTAAGTATTGACGCCAAGTTATATGCACAGTGCATAAATAAACAGAGACATGGTTGTACATGTTCCTTAAAATTATAATTTTCTCAATTTGCCGGATTTTATATCGGATAATATTGGATTTTTTCTGTCGTTTAACCTTTCAAGTCCCTAAACTGTATGTTCCATCTTTATATACATCTGAGAAGATCTATATCTGTTTATCATAATTTTGATTGAATAAGAGATTTAAAAAAAACATGCCGAATACACTAAACAAAGGTTTCGACAATAACTGACACCTGATGCCTATTTCATCCCTATGAATGGCGGTATACCATTTCCGTAGCGTGCTAATCGCTGATGGCGGGCTATTGTAACAGCCAGAACATACCAGGAAGTATCCAGTTATGTATATACGCTACTTATTAATTCTAATCCATCAGACCTGCATCTGGTGAATGGCTTCATTACACACTATATTAATATGCCAATTTTTTTATTAGAAATTTGGATGAGAAATTCTTTTGTTTAACTGCGTCCAGAGTATTTCCGTAAGGATGCCTGGTTCGTTTAGATGGGGCTTAGGACTGAAATGATTCTCTATAATAGGTATGTAGAAAGAAAATATGCATTTTAAGTGACATTTATATATATTCATATCTACATATCTATAGTCGAACCTTATTATCTCGAAGTCGACGGGACCATGGAAAAACTTTGAATTATCCAAATATTGTATTTAAAGGAGGTCGTATGTTTAGTATGACGTTTGACTTCTTAATAAACGGGGCCTTCCAGATAACGAGGTTCGACTGTGCTTTTTTTTTTTTAAATATCTCAACTTCACAAAACGAGTTCGATCTATGTTGCCTCTTTATCATCTTGAGATGGATCTTTAATGTTTTTGTACATCCTAAACAGATTTTAAATGCTCGAAAGATTGTACAAAAAGCAAACAAGAGTCTAGTACCTTTAAATAGAAGTTAAGTAATGAATGCTTTCGAATATGAACAAAATAACAAATTTCAGTTCTGACAGTATACAGGTAATTGAAAATGGAGTGAAAATATATCTTAATATTGATTATTTATGAATTGGTATATGATATTCAGACTATGATATTGTTCAGTCGGCGTTATATGACATTTTTGTCATTTTTAGAATTTAAATTCCATGCAAAGTTATTTTTGTTAACTTTAGGCTCGTAGCATCTAGAAGGACAAAACACGTGTAGGATGTAGTTTATTCATTTTCTCGCTCCACTGTATCTAAGTTTGTATTAGAAGGTGCTACTCACTTCAGTGTCTCTTGTACGATCCTTCAAACAGTCATAATATGAAGATAATTTTACCTAATTCAATAGCATGTAAAATTATCTGTGTTCGTAGTTGCAAGCGTTCACACGTTTTTACTATAGTAAACCTAACGAAATTCATCCAGTCAGTACTAATTTATTTAAGTGTTAATACTCGTCACATTTGCATGAAGCGTGAATAAACTAAACAAGTGGTTTGTGAAAAATTCTAAATGCAAATTAAACGAAACTGTGGATATTCACAGCTGTAGATTTGTAAAGGCTGGTCAGATTGATGTTTTCCGGGGTCAATTGGGCTTTGAAATCCTTACTTTTTGATTGGCATCAATTAAAATATTCACTAACCACTGGTAACCAAGTTTAAAACATCCGGGGCCTGATGAACATCCTATTTACATGTTATTTTGTACTTTATTTAATTTCGTTATATATCATCATTTCTACTGGCGAACCACTACATTATGGAAAGTATTATAAGATACGAAACCTTAGTACATGTCCAAGTGTACAAAGGTTAATCCAGTCCTACTGTAGATGTAGTCGGACGTATCCAATTATCTGACCAAACACCTAGATCTTTATTGTTAAGGTTGCTCTATCAAACATATCTACGTATCGTCAGAACTGAACTGATATACATTACATGTGTTCTAGACGTACAGGTATCAAAAGTGAAAATGCGGATATATTGCTATAGATATGATCTATTGTGTCGATGTAACCTACTGATCATGAGGTATGTTGGTTTTACTGTAAACATAATGCAAAATACTTACAGAATCTCTCATGAGATTCCATTTCGTGTGATTTAAAAACTGGAGCAAAAACTTTTTCATTTTAATTCTGTTTGGGTAGACTTGTTTGTAAAGCTTCATTATTTGTATAGTTTCATTGACGTTCTGAAGAAGAAACGTTTCAACCTTTACAAATACTGAAGAGACCTGTACTCATTATAACAACATTAGAAGGGAGGGAAGAGAACGTATGATTTATAATTACGGTAATCTCAGATTGATTGTATGCATACAGTGTGTTAAGATACAGAAATTGGTCCATGTTTGCCCGTGGGCATCACACAGATCAATCCTACTCGTCAACTCATGAGCATGGAGTACAGTTTCGCATCACTGATTAGCAAAATAAACATGCCTTCTACGACACTTGCTTTATCACTTTGATGTCTAATATGTGGAATATACACTATGCTATATAGATATGTCTCTAAGTAAAAACTGGTATCAAAACACCGTTAACCTGATTTCCATTTGACATGAGTCCACCGTGACAATGGTTTGATCAGGCCTGAAGTGACCTATATGTACTGACGGTGACATGGGTTTTGTTGTATATCTTGTTTAGGATGCCGTCTTTTTATATCACTTTTAGTTTGAAATATATTTCATTGTTATAATATCTATATATAAATATAAGTGGTATTATCGTATTTTCGTGGAACCTAATTGTTTTAAAGTCATAAGTCACTTGATTTCGTGTATAAATAAAGCTCAATAAATAACTAATTTCAACAGTTCGTGAACAGAGGAATTCATGGATTAAAAGCAACCCCGAAATCAACGAAAACAAAATTTCACAAAAATTGATAATGTTATAGTACATATTTATGTAGGTAAACAATACCCCACTTACTCCACTGGTGGATGTGTTCACTGAGGTTAAATCCTGTGAATAGTGTTACAGCTCAAATGTTCTTTCTAGTTCTCCACCCATATCGGCAAACATGTTTTAAAATGTGTTTCGACCAGTGTTGCTTTTACATGATTGTATTGCATATTTCCCCAACTTTAGTCCCCGTTGAGTCCCGATGAACAAAAAAAGCAGCTGTGTGATGCAGTTGATTTCAATATATAGTTTTATGAGTTTCTAATATTGATATTGTCTGTTTTGGTTGGAAGTGTATTTTGTATTATTATCATCTCCATTCATTCAGTTGAAAATTCCTTAATTATGTAATTAGCACCGATATAATTTCCTTCCATTATCTATATTCTCTATTCCTTATCGCAGCCGATAATTTTAAAACAGAATAGTTTTTGTGAGAAATTAGTTTGATAATATAGGATTCTCATTTTCATTGTTTAAAAAGAATATCAAAATTAGTGTCATTAAACAATGTTTTCCTTCATTTTATGTTCTTTATAACAGCGGTTTTGTCTTTTTATTCTTTATGATTTAAGGAACCCCATTTTAAAAATGTTTATATATTTAACATCCTTTCCTTTCTAACTTTCGGTGTTCTTGGCAGATGAGATGGAGCCCGGATCACAGCGACGGTCGGCATGTGTGTTCTGGATACTGACGCTGAGTTCTTTTATCTGTACGACTATATACCTGTCCATGTGTACAGTTGAAGTGTAGGTAGTAACTTAGCATTGATTTTAAAAGAAAAGTCGTTAGTAAAACCTCGTTATACCGCCACCATTTGCCTAGGAAAACCTCGTTATACCGCCACCATTTGCCTAGTAAAACCGTCTTATACAGCCACTATTTACCTAGTAAAACCTCGTTATACCGCCACCATTTGCCTAGTAAAACCTTGTTATACAGCCACCATTTACCTAGTAAAACCTTGTTATACTGTCACCCTTTCTCCAGTAAAACCTTGTTACACTGTCACCCTTTTTCCTGTAAAACCTTCTTATACTGTCACCCTTTCTCCAGTAAAACCTTGTTATACTGTCACCCTTTTTCCTGTAAAACCTTCTTATACTGTCACCCTTTCTCCTGTAAAACCTTGTTATACTGTCACCCTTTCTCCTGTAAAACCTTGTTATACTGTCACCCTTTCTCCAGTAAAACCTTGTTATACTGTCACCTTTTTTCCTGTAAAACCTTCTTATACTGTCACCCTTTCTCCTGTAAAACCTTGTTATACTGTCACCCTTTCTCCTGTAAAACCTTGTTATACTGTCACCCTTTCTCCTGTAAAACCTTGTTATACAGTCACCATTTTCCCTGTAAAACCTTGTTATACATCTTCCATTTACCTAGTAAAACCTTGTTATACAGCCACCATTTACCTAGTAAAACCTTGTTATACTGTCACCCTTTCTCCTGTAAAACCTTGTTATACTGTCACCACCTGTCCATTAAAACTTAGTGACATTGACATCATTTGTACTGTCAAATATTGTTATACTGCCGCTATTTGTCCCGTAGAATTGTATTTTACCGCCACCATTTGACCAGTAAAACCACCAGGTCCTGTTGCCACTTCCAACATTCATTAAACAAGCCTAGCTAAAATGTTGTCATTTAACTACAGATCTGTGACAAGTCGGGAACCATGCGTCTACATAGAGGGAATAACTGTCACAACCGTGGTAGCCTTTCTGTGTGGAATCTTCTGGTACTGCTACAAACAGAAGGTTGGTTTATAGTTAATACATCACGGTACAATGGACTTTATTACCATGCTGATGGTGTCACAAACAAATGATAACCAAGTGTTTGTATGTTAGTTACACGACTTAACATTAGTTCACTTCACCATCGCAATGCGACCATTATGATTGCGTTCTTTTCGCAAGGGACTAACGGGGACATCCACATATGATATATATCATTTGTTATATACAAAATGCGTGAACATTACACATACATTGTGTTAGTTACTCCTTATTGATTTGAATTACATAAACTAAACTGATGCATACAAATTGTTTTCGATTTCTCAAATTTCAAAAACGGCATTTTGTCTCAGTTGGCTTTCTGCTCTGTTGCTTAAAAAAAACTTTTTTTGCTGCAAGTCAGTGTGTCGCATGTACTTCGGAAAGGCACGGGAGAAAAGATGACATAAATTGACCAAGGATTTTTTAATAATTTATTTTATTGCTTTTAAAACGCTTTTTGGGAGTACCATACGACGTTTCTGTCATGGAAAAATTAAAACATAAGATTACCATACTGTCACTACAGTTTCCATTTGTTTATGCACAGGATACTGTCCTAAACGAAGTCTGCCATAACGATAAATAAAACATTTTTACGTAAAGTATAATCAACCCTTAATCACAACGCGCTGACAACACCAACGGTGACTGATGATAAATAAGACACGATGGAGAGAAGAACAGTAAGTAGGAAACGCATTGTGTAACACAAAGGTATGCGTAGTATGTGTAACTTATGATAACCCTGTCCGATACGAATTGTCATTGTTCTGATGACACGAACCATTAGTCAAACGTCATTGCCCAACCGAGATGTCATTGGCCCCCTTACCAGCTGACTACAGATGTGATTAAACACAAGAAAGATACAATTTATCTGGGCTATTTATAGCAGCAGTTTATGGTACTTATATATTACGTTTTTCTGAGTTTGTTGCCCTGTTTTACGTTATGACTTTCGGGTGTGTTCAATGACACTATGTAATAAATCATTAAGGTTACTGAATTGTTTAAACAAAAACAACACTAATAAAAGCGGATTACAGATATTTTTAGTGGTCCCGCTACTGTATCTGATAATGTGTTTTAATCATTGTTTTAATCTTTCCGAGAGGGTGGTGTGGTAGATTTATCAATCAATGTTTTAATCTATCCGAGAGGGTGGTGTGGTAGATTTATCAATCATTGTTTTAACCTATCCGAGAGGGTGATGTGGTAGATTTATCAATCATTATTTTAACCTATCCGAGAGGGTGGTGTGGTAGATTTATCAATCATTGTTTTAATCTATCCGAGAGTGTGGTGTGGTAGATTTATCAATCATTGTGGTAGATTGATCAATCATTGTTTTAATCTATCCGAGAGGGTGGTGTGGTAGATTTATCTAATTATTGTTTTAATCTATCCGAGAGGGTGGTGTGGTAGATTTATCAATCATTATTTTAACCTATCCGAGAGGATGGTGTGGTAGATTTATCAATCATTATTTAAATCTATCAGAGAGGGTGGTGTGGTAGATTTATCAATCATTGTGGTAGATTGATCAATCATTGTTTTAATCTATCCGAAAGGGTGGTGTGGTAGATTTATCTAATTATTGTTTTAATCTATCCGAGAGGGTGGTGTGATAGATTTATTTAATCTTTATTTTAATCTATCCGAGAGGGTGGTGTGATAGATTTATTTAATCTTTATTTTAATCTATCCGACAGGACGATGCGGTATATTTATTCAGATTGTTGTTGCAGATGCGATACGGCACGTCTCTAGAATACTACCTCCACCCTCTGCCACTGTTTGCTGATGGCACTGAACCCGAGACAATCCCTGTCCCTGATGGTCAGCCAGCAGTGACTGAAAGGATGCTACAAAGCGACATGTTGAAGCCACTTACCACCGATAAAGTCCCGGACGGTATTTAGTCATTTTCATGTTTTCAATTCGTAAAGTCAGGAACTTGGCAAACTTACAATGGTTTAGATGGATTCTCTTTTAACTGAGAGATTTATCAATTCACTGGACTCCCACTTGAAAGTTGGAAGTAATTTTAAAAGAACATAGTTATGAAAAATCATAGCTTCACTACCAAATACAACATAAAAGTAAATCTACGAATTATATTATTTCTGAATTCCATATCTTGTGAATGAAAATGATTTTTTAAAAAACCCTAACAGTGTTCCATTGCTATTCATCTTAAACATGTTTTTAATCAAACACTCAAACAAATCAAAAACTCAACACATCGTTTATATATGGAATGTCTTTTGTTTTCGCATATTGACTTCTCGTTTCTCCTTTTCAGACTTCGAATGTGTTATTTGTAACGAGAACGAACATTCCGTCGATCAAAAGGTGACACAACTTAGCTGCAGTCATGGTAAATAAACTAGGTATACGATGAAGATGTCCTTCATGCCTTGTAAAATAAAATCGAAGAGTTATCATTTTTTTCTTTTTTTTTATTTATTTTATTTTTTTATAATATTTTTTTAATTCACATATTTATTTTCTTTTTAATGCCCTAAAGGAGGTTTATTTTACGCGGATCTTGTTGATTTCTTTTGATTATTGTAACATGTCTCATTAATATGGATAATAAACGGTTTCATGCGTTGACCTTATGAACATTTTGAACTAAACCTTTTGTCAATGACAAATGATGACGTCATATTTAGGTCCATTTGAGTTACAGGGAACCTGTGTTACGTTGACCGCCTGTAACCTTATTTCAGTGTTGCACAGAGTGTGTTACGCGACTGTGTTTCAGTATTCCACAGAAGGTGTGTGTTGTGTGCCTGTATTTCAGTGTTGCACAGAGAGTGTGTAAAGTGTCTGTATTTCAGTGTTGCACAGAGAGTGTATACAACTAACGTACAGTAGTAATCGTTATGCGTCTGTATTTCAGTGTTTCACAGGGAGTGTGTGCTACGATGGTTTCTCAGCACCAGCAAGAAAACATGTCCAATTTGTAGGACGCGTCAGGTTCCAGAGGGCCGACTTCTTGTCATCACAATAATTCCACAGGAGGGGACGTTACCAGTGCGGCTCTCACAGGTATTTCGTATTTCTATCAAGATTTGTTCGATGCTCCTTAATATGGTTGAACTTTTACGCTTTTGCTCGTACGGATCAAGATGGCGGATGTCATCGACGAAACAGTACTTATATCCGAACACCAAGTCTTTTCTATGTACTTTTTAGTTGTTTCGGTGTAAACCTTTCCCTCGTTCATCGTTCGTCCACATTTTATCAAATAAAAGTTGAAATAACAACTTATGTTAACATTTATAGTACGCGTAGCAGAGGTCATTACTTATTTCAATGCCTCCACCAGTACAGGAATCAAACCCAGGATTTCTAGTTAACTAATCTTACACTCAACCATTAAAAACATCTCCTTAGCCAAGCGATTTATTGCGGTTAGTATATGTGTTTATCTAGATTATGTATATTTTTAATGTATTTTTGTATTAAGTGCCAGAAATTATGATGTCGGACGGTAAAACCGACTTGTTTTACATGCAAATTTGGAAACATTTTCTGTTATCTTTCATTCCTTTCGTCTGTTTTAGGTATGACAGCTGGAGACCTAACTGTTGTGAGAAAATGATGCGTCCTGTGATTCGGGCGTTCGTGAGGGAAGTTCTGCCAATGACACTGCAATTCATCACACTCGCATATTGTGTGTTTGTGGTGTTTAATAACTTGTGCAATAGCAATGCAATATATCAATAATTTGTTATCTGGAAATATGAACATTCATATAGAGCGTGTTCAATGACAACTATGCCTCCACAGGCTTGAGAAACTATGTATAATTATGATGTTAAAGTATCCTTCATTTTTCTATGTTCTGTCCTGTTAACAACTGTATACCGGAAAAAATCCACCCCGTCTAATTGTCGCCCTTTTCGGCCCTGAACAGAGAGGACAAATTTAAGATGGGTGTTAAAATTTGTTACACGTATATCCTTTTATACAATCCTAAGAGGGCGAAATGAACATGAGGTGAAATCATGTAAAATGGTACAAAGGCGAAATTAACCTGGGGCGAAAATAGCCCGTGTACGGTATAAGAAAACCTTACACTCAATAATACTTATGTTGACTGCTAATATTCAAACAAAAGTACATTTTCATTAATTGTATGTATCTATGAATATGATAACACTTTTAAGTCTGAATGAATTTTAAATCGTGAGCGTGATGTTTCTACATATGTATGATTTGTGATAATTTTTATAGGTGTTTAAAAGTGGCGATGACTGATACTTGTTATAGGTGTGTTGTGAAGAGCGTGCATGTTTGACGAGTGAGATTGGCAGGTTACCGTATTCACTTGCATGATTTTGTAACTTTTTTTTTTAATGATATCGATACCAATCGAAAAAGAATATACCTAAAAATGTTGAATAAATAAAAACGTTTTCCATAAACTGCTTCGTTCATTTTTTCTGGCTGTGTAACAACATACTGTGTATCAATCAAAGGGAGATTACTCCAATAAATATCTCCAATATAAATACCTGTTGGGATGTTTTTATCATTTCATTTGCTTCTCATTAATAGAACAGGTATTTGATCTAAAGAACAAATTAGATAAATCATGTTTTTTTCTTAATTCGAAATGGAACGTGCAAGGCATGATAAAGTTAACGTGAACGTAAGGTATCAGAGTATGTACAAAACCCCAATCTATATCAGGGTGTGTACAATCTATAACAAGGTATCATGGTATGCACAATCTACAACAAGGTATCAGGGTGTGTACAATCTATAACAAGGTATCAGGGTGTGTACAATCTATAACAAGGTATCAGGGTGTGTACAATCTACAACAAGGTATCAGGGTGTGTACAATCTACAACAAGGTATCAGGGTGTGTACAATCTACAACAAGGTATCAGGGTGTGTACAATCTACAACAAGGTATCAGGGTGTGTACAATCTATAACAAGGTATCAGGGTGTGTACAATCTATAACGAGGTATCAGGGTGTGTACAATCTATAACGAGGTATCAGGGTGTGTACAATCTATAACGAGGTATCAGGGTGTGTACAATCTATAACGAGGTATCAAGGTGTGTACAATCTATAACAAGGTATCAGGGTGTGTACAATCTATAACAAGGTATCAGGATGTGTACAATCTATAACAAGGTATCAGGGTTTGTACAATCTATAACAAGGTATCAGGGTGTGTACAGTCTATAACGAGGTATCAGGGTGTGTACAATCTATAACGAAGTATCAAGGTGTGTACAATCTATAACAAGGTATCAGGGTGTGTACAATCTATAACGAGGTATCAGGGTGTGTACAATCTATAACGAGGTATCAGGGTGTGTACAATCTATAACGAAGTATCAAGGTGTGCACAATCTATAACAAGGTATCAGGGTGTGTACAATCTATAACAAGGTATCAGGATGTGTACAATCTATAACAAGGTATCAGGGTGTGTACAATCTATAACAAGGTATCAGGGTGTGTACAATCTATAACAAGGTATCAGGGTGTACAATCTATAACAAGGTATCAGGATATGTACAATCTATAACAAGGTATCAGGGTGTGTACAGTCTATAACAAGATATCAGAGTATTTACAATACACTAGCTTTAAGGGCTCATGATGAAATTCAAAAATTGAAAAAAATGCGATTTTGTTAATGAAGGTCATTGATATAGCCTAATGAAGTATATCTGTGGTAATGTCATTAATGCGAGATGTAGGTTATCGTGTTTATATAGATATAGCTTTATATTTTAAGGATTGAAAACAAAGCTTGGAGGTGGCAGAGCTTATGACGTTCCATAAAGATGAAAAAAGACAGAGAGAAAAATATTTTCCCGGGTAATTACTTATAGGTACTTCTGAAATACGATTTTAATCTTCATATTTACAAGTGAACGCAAAAAATATTTCGCTAATATAAACTTTTGGTGAAAAAGATTATACCGTCAGCGTTTAAGAGTACATGGGTACATGCACATATATTTCACTGACCATATTTCATAATTTTTCACTGCAGTTAGTCAAGGTTCCATACTTTTCTCAATGGAAATTTCTTTGAAACCATTTAAAAATTCCCGTTGGAGTTAAACACAACTCTCACTATATTTTTAGTGAAAATTAATTGAAACTATCAAGTCCCAATGGCTATCACTCTGAAAAAAACCAAATCAGAACTTCATCTGCGTCTTTGTCCATTAAAGCGTAAATCAGAGGGGACATAACGAAATTACATTTTGTAAAACGGATGAAGGCATACGACAAAACTACAAAAGATATCCCAATATCAATCAATGTAATCTCGTCCTTTTTATGCGAGTTACTTCCCTTGTAAGGTAATAAGTCATGTTATCATGTGACAAGTCATATATAACTGTGGACAAAATGGAGGATGCATTGAAAACATCGACAGTTGGGCTACGGCGTTTGTTTTACATGGTAACACCGAATGAAACATCGTTCAAAGATGTGGAAGATGTTCCTAAATATATCGACGAGGTAAATTTATATTGTTCTATAGGCGATGAGTTCAGATAGATTGAACATCGTACACAATAAGACATAATATCGAACACGCAAAAGAGGTTCGAAGCTCAGCAGGGACAAGAATTTTTTCAGCATTTATGAATAATCTCTTTTTTCGTAAGAAAATATTTTACCCATATGTACAACAATGAAGAACATATTTGTATTTGATTTCTTTTAAAGTGACTCGCGCCAAATATAGTAGTCTTGCAACATTTAATAATCTAAGGTGTTTCTCTAGAGGGAGAGATGTGTTCGTCTGTCTGATAAAATATTTATTCTTAAGCATGGAGCCAAACTCTGTAAATACCAGAAGCATACGTCTGTACATGTATTTCATGGAAAACAAAATGTAATTATAACTATTGCTTTCATATCCACATGAAATAAACGTTTTGGTAGATTAGTAATTAACTTAAGCAACATGGCCAATCCGTACATGTGTTTAATGTTGTATTGTATGGTTTTTTTCTTGGAGTGCACATAAATCATTTAAATGAATGCTATTTCAAATATCAAGCAGCATATTTCACCTGCCGCCTACAAAGGTAGGTTGTATCCCACAAAACTGGTTCTTTGTTTTCCTGGCTCATTCCTTTTTAAAACATGCCGATGAGTTATTTTTGTCAATGTTTACAAACTTTAATACCTCCAATAAGCCAACACCTGAAGTCGTGTCCATTGTTTCCATGTATATTAATCAATGTTGACATGCGTTTCATTCCTGTTCTAACCCGATGGTTAACTTGTTCATTTAGAGGTAAATATTGGAAGTTAACGAGATAGTATAAGGATGGTTGCTAAATCCCAGCTGGTCACAAGCAAAATGTCCTGATATCCCTCGGAACTGTTTAAAGAACTAAACTGATTGTTATGATATGACATGGATAGTGTGACCCTGAATATTATATAAGGATACAGGTAGGGATTGTTATCTACTTTCAAATGAAAAGTTGATGTGATTATGAGATCAGGTTACTGTATCCTTGACCCAGATGTTTGATATATAACTGAGTATAGCCAGAGAAGAGAAAGTATAGTCAATATGTTTATCACTAATGCATCTATAATCATTAACAAAATGAAAATTAATCACATGCAGGTTCCCCGTGAAATCACAATATACTGGTATAAATTTGCATTTACGATTGAACAAAAGTCGTGCTATGTCGCCCGGGTTAATATGTATTTTTATGTGACCTCACATGTAGTCAGTATCGACTTGTTTAAGATATCATACTGGAGATGATATAAGGAATATATAAAAATGTCTTGAAGTCAACAATTATAGCATCATTTCTCAGTTTCTTTGTTTTTATTTATAATTTTGCTATATCCTGCTGACTCCATTAAGGGACTCGATGTATTGTAGTACTGAGTACTGTACCATGACAAATACGATAACTCAACAATGTTTTCATAAACGTATATCAACATTATAATAAACATTAACAATAACGTATATTTAAAAAGGGGAAGGGGAGGGAGGGGGGCGGCGTTGCTTGTACTCAACTAGCGGAGCATGTATGTTTCTTTGGCACATTTGGTGAAGCTCTGCAACATTGGTATTTGTGTAACTCTGCAATTTCTTCTTACACAATTTAATAATATAGTATATATGTTATTGTGTAAGTCCGCTTCCATAATTATTATTGTGAATATAAATGTATAAAGATGGTCAGGTTGCGCAGTGGTAACGAACTCGCTTTCCAACTAGCTGTCCAGGGACGAGGTTGGGGGAGGGGTTATTTGCTAGACCACGTGTGTTTTACTTTGGTATTCCGGTTTCCTCCCCACAGTGAGACACACACACACACACACACACACACACCCCTCCCTAACCCCTGTGCGTTTACATGCGAGCTAACAATAGTGATTGTATAAGTGGAAGCTTGTTACGAAAGTGATGTATTACATATATATTCAGTTCAATAACTTAGTGACGAGCTGAGACAACTCAAAATGAATATTATCACAATACCTTAGTGTTATTAGTCCTGGTATCATCAGCAAGTGTTCTCTCTCAGATAGACATCGACTATGTATAAATGAAATTCATTTCTTTCCAGGCACTTCCTGTATTCATATTACTGGTAATGATCGAGATCCCGATACTCTTCGTTCAAGGGAAGCCACTTCCGAGATTCAATGATACTTTCAGTTCTTTGGCAGCAGGAATTATCTCAGAATTTCACAAGTAGGTAGTTGTTATTGAAATGACAAAATAAAGGCTATACCATGTGACATTTGTGTGGATAACAAGATTTTAAACAAAATTTTGTGAAACTCTGTTACGATGAAGAGAAGCAGATGTTGTAGCGCCTCTCCAGCAGCAGTGGTTGGGCTATTGTTTAAGTTTACAGTATACTTTTTTTGAAAAAGTTTACCAGCTCTGTCAATTTGACACTTACAATGATATTTGCAAAGAGGTCTAGATACGATTTTTAGACAAGGGAGTTTTGTTTATGATCATGTGTGATATGTGATTTCAACCCCACGAGTTTTGAGATTTCTACTGCTGCTACTGACAAGAGATTCCATTGCTGTTATAGACACGAAGAACACCGTGTTTTTATATGTGTTTGGATGCTTGTCTTCTTTTGGTATTAGGATGTTTTTGTGAGTAGCCGTCATGCTTGGAATATTGGTCATCGAAGCGTGATATATATGTCTTTGACTGAGATTGTGATTTGGTATCTGTTTTGGACCTGTCATGCTGCTCTGTGCTCATCTTCGATACTCCACTTTTTACAATTGCTCTCTGCACACCTAGAACATGTATATTCCTCGGAAATAGAATTTACACATGGTTATCTACTCCCTTTTCAAAGAAGGATAGAACCCATAAACGGGAAAACTTTGTCATGATTGCAGAAATATCCACCTAAGGAATGCAGATTTTCTTTTTTCAAGTTTGTCGAAAGACATTGTTGGTGTTCACTCATTCAAAGATTTCAAGAATTTTTTAATGCTCCTGCGTCCGTGACCATATAATATGTAATCAATCTATTTTTAAAAAGTCAGTATTTAATATTTTAAGAGATTTAAAGAAAAGTTGGTGTGTTTTATTTATTGTGCTCTTATAACAATTACACCAAATTTTATCAGCACTTTGTCTTCGAATAGGGCAAGATTACATCACCATGTCATGACTTACTTTAGACATAATAAAGAAAAACCTCTATACAATACCCTTCATTTGATTAACAAATATGTTCCATTTCCCTTCAGTTAACAACCATTATGAAAATATGTCTCCTTGATACATTCCTCAACATCTGATTGGAATGACAACATTTTTCTGAACATAAGGATTCATGAATTACAAAGTTCTGGTGTAACTTCTGCGACATGATGAAATTACACTTTCCTCTTTTTAAAGTTTGCTGTTTCGAGGTACTAACTTAGCAACCTATATCTGGGTGTACGAGCGTTGGAACATCATATCCCTACCCTGGGACAGTCCATGGACTTGGTTATTTGGTCTGGTGTTCGTGGATTTTGGATACTACTGGGTACACAGAACAGGGCATGGTAATATTTAGCATCTGATATTCGTTTAGGTTAATCATGAGGTCTGTCTCAAAGCCCTGATGTAAACCACGGTAAATAAATAGAAAAAAGGGTTCAGTATCGGATCAAATCTGGTGTCGTGATATTAAGCCTTTCATGCAATCGTAAGTGAAATTTAAATATCTTTCTTGATTTTGTGTACTGTCCTCTTGTTCAGACAGTGCACAATATCAAGAAAGATATGTACTTAAACGCTGTGGAAAGTTTTAATAGAACGGTCGCCTCCAAGCTTCCTGCCAGAAGGAATTTCACTTAAGCTCAATCGGTAGAACAGCGAACTGATAGATTGATTGTGCAATCCATGCTATGTTTAGTGTCGTAGATTAATTTATGAGTAGGTCAAATGAGAATGAGGTGCTAAGGTGGAGATAGAGTATTTAGGCTGACGTGATGAGCCGCTGATTTACAAGAGGTGGCAGGCTTTTAAAATGATCTAGTTTCGCTTTAGGTTGATCTTAAGGGCAGTGGCTTGTAAGCCAGTGACTGCGATTTTCTGTAGCAAAGGCTGATGTGTCAGTCATCAATATGGCTGACAAAGGAATGGTGACGACAGTTTTCATTTTGTATCGTTTATATGTATCTGCTCTATATATATGTATATATGTATAAAAATAACCATGTTGTTTGACAGAGATGAACATCATGTGGGCAGGACACCAGACTCATCACAGCTCTGAAGATTACAACCTGAGTACTGCACTACGACAATCCGCCATTCACAGATACTTTAATTGGGTATGATCGAAAGTTTTAGCCTAGTGATTTCGAAAACTCCATATTTATCGATTTTTGAGCTTTAGTGAATAACAAAATTGCAAATACATCTCTCTCGAATTTAAGTGTAGGTCTTTCTCATCGTTTAATATTTTTAAGATAAGGAAAAGATGTCAGTTGGGAAAGATGATAAAATCTTAAGATCATTTAAGAACATAAGGACATGGATCTACTGTTTTGAAATTAAAATAGAGGATATAAATTGTAACCCAATCAATTATCTGAAAATAATAAATAGGTGGTATTTATAACCATTACCTTCACAGATGTTCTACCTGCCACTGGCTTTGTTCATGCCTCCCTCAGTCTTTCTTGTCCACCTCCAGTTCAACCTACTTTACCAGTTTTGGATCCACACAGAGGTAGGTGCTGATTATTTTAGGTGTGCAAGAGGGATGCGGAGTGTGTTGGAGGTGGTCGAGCGAGTTTAGAAGATAACTTGATGTTTTATGGGATAGCCGATAATGTTCGAGGATAAATGAGTGTATTATGCGATGCGAACGAAAGGGATAAATGAAAATGTTATCGGGGTAATATTAGCTGTTAGAAGTAAACCAATAGATAATTAGGGGTGTGAGAATTAACTGAGGAAATAAGAGTTTATTGTGTTTGTTACGGTGTAGCTGCAGACTTTGAGTAGGTCAATGCATGTATATGTGATCAACGAACTGAAATATATAAGTGGGAAATTGAAGTTCGAAAGGGCCATCTGAGAGTATCAGAAAGTAACTGTGAGTAGCTGAAGATGCTATGTTTTTGCTGTAGTAGTAAACGGAGGGGTAACTAAGTGGAAACTAAGATATTAGTGAATGAATTATGGTGTTAGAGACATTGAGGGTATTGGAGAAAGCAAACCTGATATTGAGGATGTCATTGAATGAGGGTGTTAGTAGATAACTGGTTTCATATAGAACGATTGAGAATGCACGGGGTTGCCTAAGGATTTGATAATACGTAACTGATAATGAGAATTGTATGTTCTTCTGTTGATTTTAAGTGAATAAGTTTGGATAGATGAGTCTCACTATGGGAAATGTAAAAACGAAATAATGTTATTTGTTTAAAATGCAACAAATTAACTTAAAGACAAAATATATATAATTTATTGTACATTTATCAGTAAATTTGAAAAATGATTTTTCTCTACCCATCATATTATGGGATTATCACATCAAATGTGATATAAAACTTTGAAATTCAATATCAAGAAACAAGGAGGGATGTTCATTAATAAATTTAGTGACTGATCTGAGGAGGTTGTTTTAGTGTACTAAACAACTTTCTTGATTGTGTTGTACTATATTTTACCAGACTGTGAGAAGTGTGGGTCCTTTGGAGTGGATACTGAACACACCAAGTCACCATCGTGTCCATCACGGTCGGAACCCTTATTGTATTGACAAGAACTATGCAGGCGTCTTCATTGTATTTGATCGACTTTTCGGTATACAAATGTGAACACAACGGTTTAAAACCGTCGATAAATGAAAATGGCACTTTTAAAGTTTTAATCAGTATTCGATTATTTACATCATTCCTCCGATCAAAATTTTGAAGGTTTTGCCTCGTTTTGAAGTTTCCTAGTATGGTTATTTCGTTTGTGTCATGGACTCTTTAAAACGGTTAATTGATGTGGGCATGAATGCTAGAACATCAAAGTTTTCCTTCTTTCAAGCATAGAATTTTAAATTTTGAAATGTCCTGTTATGGAATGCAATCGTTATGTGTTCGTTTACAGGGACTTTCCAAGCGGAGGAGGAGAAGGTTATTTATGGACTGGTACATCCACTTCAGACCTGGGATCCTATCAATGCACAGGTACTTTTTATTATGTCAGTTTTAATTCTTACTAACTCATTTACTTTTGAAGTTTGTTTCACTTCCGTTTCTCAAGACTTACCGATTGGGTCTTCATGAAGGTCGCAGTGACTATTTCTAATTTCGACATTGGAGGTTTCTCAGAGAAAAATGCCAGGACTTTCTTTGTTACTGGTAAAAACAATTGTTTGTCTTTTTTGTAGATCTGCCATTTCAAGTACATGATACAAAAAGTTCAGGAAGAAAAGGGCTTCAGCAACAAGATGGGAGTCATTTTTAAAGGTCCAGGCTGGTCGCCAGGGAAACCATGGACAGGTTTACCTGAGGATATTCCAGAGGTCAGTGCGTAACCATACAGCTTATGCAAGTCATGAAAAATTGATGTTGTGTCATTAACAATAATATCAGTTTTGCAAGTTCAAGATTTTTTTTTTTCAAATCAGTTTGAAAATGTACAAACATGAATGGCTACGTTGATGACGTACCATTTACTAAAGAATTGCTATGATCATAAGACTGCGTTTTATATTTCCATAAATTAGAAAATGTACGTTATAAATCATGGAAAATTATCATTTTGCTTAGAGCTGTGTACTTGTCGACTAAAATAATGGTTCCTCAAGTGAGTATCTTTAGGAATGGCAGATTTTTTCACAGGAACGGGTTATTCCCAATACTTTGGGTTATTTGTTCTGCTACAGGTTAAGGAACCAGTGCAGAAGTACGACAAAGATGTTCCATTGTGGACTAACCTGTACATATTTTTTCACTTTGCACTTATGATCGTTGCATCAGGAGTAGTGGCCAAAATCGGAAAGGTAAGATTTCGTATTATTGAGTTCGTTTTTGAGTGGCAAATGTATACTAATATGTCAGGCAAGAAATGTGTGAGATGATTACTATCATACTAAGCTGTGATTATGTTGCTCTTGCAACAAGAGTATATCTATATTGTAATTCAGACTATTATTTTGCCATGCTATGCATACTACTGATGCAAAATCAGAATATTCAGACAATTAATACCACAAATAGGTGTAATACTATCATGATTCCTTAGTTGCAATAAGATATTTTCATCTTAACAGTTAATGTCCTGAAAGACACAACCTATCACAACCTGACACCTATCACGTGGTCTTGAATTCCTTTTCTATGGAAAGCATGTTTATCGCCTATATGACCGTATGTAGCCACAATATCCTAAGATAGACATCTCACCTATCATCCTTTCGCTAGACTGGAAGAGTTGAAGATTTCAATTTTGGCAATCTCCTTCGACTTTTACATAGATTACACGTTCATAACATACCATTATAAGAATGAATATTTTATCTACATTGTATCATTTTTTAACCTACTTCTTGCAAACAAACAGAAAATATACGCCTATTGCATGATTTTTTATGTGTTATGTTCTTGCCTTTATATATTTTTTTCGTGAAAATTTGACTTATTATGGTATAAAACAATGTTTCAATTACATTTATGTTCCTTTTCTTCATATCGTTTCTATTGTCCTTCAGTGCATCGCATTCTGTCCTCAACATCAAAACAAAACCATTCAGGAAAGCTCCTTCCGTGAATGTATGGTAATGTTTATTTGTGACACAGATGTAACTCTTTAATTATTGTTTAAGGGTATGTCGCCAATTTCTGTCGTGGCCTTTATCCTGTACATGTTATTCTCCCTGACAAGCTTCGGAGCTATTTATGATAACAGGTATGTTACAGAATTAACTTCTTTAATATATAGTAGAAAAAAGTAGGATGTAAAATCATGAAATGATCTGCTTGGACAGGTTGTTGATAAAAGGATCATGCAAAATATAATTTATTAACCCTTTAAAGTAATAGAAAGACGAGATATTTATAGACAGAAGTTTGCGATAGACATGTAGGAGGTATATAGAAGCAGTTGTTATACTAGCTTCTTATATGTCATTCGATGGATACAGACAAACGTTATAGTTATAGACATGTAGGTTAAGACAAGTGATAGTTTGGGTAGAAGTAGTTTTAGACAGCAGTTATAGAAACAAGTGGTCGCTACCATATGAAAATATAGTATTATCCACATATCTGTGTAGACATGCTTCGCTATGATAATATAAGTCAAAATTCCAAGTAAAATCTTAATCATTAATGATTTCTAATCTTTATTCACAGGAGTTATGCCCCTATAATGGAACTCTTTAGATGTGGTGCGTTTCTTGTTGTGACGAAATTCACCCTTCCAGTGACGTCATCCATGGTAACTCTTGGTTACGGCCTGAGTTTGATTTATGTTGCGTCTGCTGGTATTTGGCTATGTATCAGTTTGAGACAAAATCTGCTGGTGAGGAAAGTCAAGGCTTTATAGTCGCGGAACTCAATCTTCTGATGAAAAAAAGTTTTAACAATGCAACAGTGTTCACTTATATATAGTAAGTTAGTAACACAAATATAGAGTGCAATTAGTTTGTGTTGAGAAAGCAACAGAACTGGCTTATGTAATGAAATGGAAAACTTCCACTCAACGTTTTTAACATTTATATTTTGAAGTTTTGATGCTTATCTGAAAGGACAGGTGTGCTGCTGTGTATAGCTAGAACGACAAGACCTAATACGTTCAGTGTAGCAATGTGCAAAATCGCTTAATAGAGAATAGGACAACAGCTTGTGCCAGAAATACACGAATTATGCAGCTATTATTTTGTTTTCTTCCTCTGAGTAGAAGAAAATAGTTTCATCACTAAAAGCTAGCTGCCATTGAGAGAAAAAATATTACACTGGTAAAAAACGTTTTGATCCCATGTCCTCGCTTGTCTGACAAGATTATTTAACAGGGAAGAAATAATTGATCTTCGACAAGCGATATTTTATGTTTGTTGAGGTGTATGAAAATGACATATGTATCATACTTAAATAGTACAATACCCTAGATTTTAACATTTGTGAAAAGTCTTTTTTTTCCCTTTATTTAACAGTCATATGTATTTAAAATCTATATAACTCCTTCTAAAGCTACATTGTAATCACATAGCCGATGTAACAGGGGTCAGCATTTATTCCAGTACCTCCCCTAGGATTCCAGCCCAGGACCTCTGGCGTTCTGACGCCCAACCGATCGAGTTAAGTTCTCTTTAGCCGAGCGGTATATTGCGGTTATTATTTACCAGGGTTACATATTCCCCTTCAGGAAATAACTCGTACTCGAACTTCCAGGTGTTACAGCGATGCCCATGGGGCATGGCTAAGTATGATGTCCGAGTCCCTACATTCATTGAAATATCTTTTCAACGTGGTTAGACATTGGAAAATATTTACATTTGCTTGTTAGTCTTAGGTTTAAAACGATTTATACATTTGTTTTCATATAAGGTGTATCAACATATTTAGTACATTTGTCTTGAGAACTTGAGAAGTGGCTGTTGTACAGGTTTGGTAATTAAATTCACATGTTGTTTGTACAATCTTTCATGATGATAAACACTCACTTACACTTTTGCTAAATATTGTCTCATCTCTCTTTTTACCTCAGTAAATGTTAAAATCCTCTTCCATTTTCATTACTGTCATGTTCCTCATTCCATTGTCTTGTATTCTTCGGTCTAAACCTTTTTTTATTTGTCGACTAAATTATGTGATTGTCCATTTGCACCTGCACAGTTTCACCAATCCCTCCTTGACATCATTTGTATGTAATATACTCTTCATTATCTTGGCGAAAATAAAAAATTGAATTATACTAGATGCTATCTGTGATATATTTAAGTACTACTTTGTTTATCAGTAATAAAAACCATTTAATATGAAAGTTTCTCATGTTTATCATTTTAGTGTCGTGTTCATATGAATTGTTCGTATTTGTTGTCTGGAATAGGGCACTGACAGTCGTCCACCAATCGTCTCATATTTCATTGACACCACATCTGAATAAATGATGTTATATACGTACAGGGGTTAATCTAGAATTTTAGGAATAATACATATTATGAAAAATGGCCCTTTTTGAGAAAAAAACTCATTTTGAAATTGGAAATTTTGAACAATGAACACTAGTATAGGGTTTGGTAAAGTATACAGCATTCATGAAAGTTTTATGAACAAGATGGTTTTGTTATTACTAAGTGGATGATTTTCCTATGAAACGAATAGGTACCATGTGAAAAAAACTTATTATTTCGAGTAATCCTATGTCGATACAAAGACAACGAAGCGTAACTCGTAATAACGAGATTTTTTGTGTAGAACTAATTGGATTTCGTATTTCTTTATTCTGTCATGGTTTTAAAAGATCTTTATCATACTTTAGATATGCTTTGGGGGATTTTTCTTTCCTGGTTTGGCCATTTTTGTGTTTCTTGACAAGTGAAACCACCCAGGGAATACAATGTTATTTCGGTAGTAAAATAATTTTAAGATAAACCCTGATATAGGGTCTAATAGACATAAGGATCATTATGGGCACAGCTGCTTGGAACGTCTGAACAGATGAGTATAAGAAACCAGACTTATATTCTGTATTTTATTTATTTTACTTATTTGCTTATGATCCTTGCAAAGATGTTTGACATTCAAGACAGTATGTCGTGCATGTTTCTGATATTCGAGGAGTACGTCTTTAAATTCAAAAGTTGTCATTAATCGTAGTTATTACAGCTATATCTTAGGTCATGCTGCTGATCTGTGTTAATTGTATATTATCATATGTTGTCTACCGTTTTGAATATAGAACATAACATAAATGAACGCTTGTTTGTTACAGACGTTTGTTTTGTTAGTAAATAAGAGACACTGTGGGCATTTAGTGCTACACATTTGCTTTAACTTCCACCGAGTGAAGAATGACGGGATCATGTCAGCCAAGTATGTAATAATGAAAACTCGGAATAAAGATCTAAGATGTTATTAATCAAGACAAAAAAATCCACTCCTCCGTTCCAAACATATGCAGGTCCGTATTTCAATATAGGCTTTTGGTTATTCAAGAGCTTAATACAGAGCAAAGAAAACTTTACATAGCATATTGATATAGATAAGATTTAAATCAAATTAATAGAAAATGAACGGATAAGAAAGGTAGAACATAGTTTGCACTCGGCATGGATACTTGATTTCAACTTGCTTGACAAATATGTCTTTTGATGGGGTGTCAAATGTAGCATACAGGATGAGGCGTGCAGCACGTTTTGGAGATTTACATAGCCGTTTTGTTATACAATCCTTACAGCCACTCCAAACAGCACAACAATGTGGAAATACGCAAGAATTAAACTATTTCAGCCTTCCCCTTACTGATAAGTACTACTTTATAAGTCGGAGCTGCCCTAGACCACAGTTGATCTTAGCTAATACAGAATCTACACGTTCGGAAAAGGACAGGTGGCGGTCTAGTGTTACACCAACGATGTTCTCAGTATTTTGAAATATCGTGTTGTCAGGGACAAAGATACTCCAGAGATTACGATCTCCTTCGCTCTCTGCAAACCTAGAACATGACAAAATAGAAAGTTCCGTGTGCAAAACCTTGTGGACAAGACGAAAAGACTAGTTTAATTCTTTGATGTATTTAGATTATAGATTTATTTGGTAAAACATACATTATATTACGTACATACACATACATGTATTGTAAAACAATTAATATTTTAACCAGGATAACACCGTAAAGTCTGTGGACTTGTTTCCACTGTGGTCCATTAACATAAAAACATTACAATACAACACTGGATACAAATATTGTTACATAAAGTTAAACTATTCCTAGAATATAATGTTTATAAAATAAACTAAAATTATGTTAAATAAAAGTTCATGCGTGTGGTAAGAATATTATAATATCACAGAAAACAAAACATTCTTTATGCATTGCCATGTAAAAAACGTCGAACACGGTTTTGAAAGTTTCGTTTGTTATTAACTAAACGAATGTCTGCAGGAAACGAGTTCCATGTCTTGACTCCATTAAAACAAAATTGCGCTATATTCTGCGTAGAGAAGTAATTTGGAATCTTTACTAATGCTTAGTTCCATGTCATTGACATAACAGAGGGAAAAACGGGGTCCCAAAATACTGCCCTGGGGTACCCCACATGTAACTTTTTGAGACGAAGACACAGCGCTTTTAATAGAGACGATTTGGTCCTAGAAGACAGATATGAAGAAAACCAGGATGTACACTCGACCCCCATTGCCGTTAATTTATCACATAAAATTATATGGTCGACAGTGTCGAACGCTTTTTGTAGATCCAACAGTATCATGCCTGTATATAGGCCTTTTGACGATTGACACTGTAAATGATCGAATAGGTGTAACAGGGCCGTATCTGTAGAATAATGTCCTCTAAACCAAGATTGATGTTGGTACAATAAATTGTTATCCATCATAAAAGTATTGAGTTGTACATCAAACGAATCTCGATGTCGCATAATTGTATATTTTAATGGCTTTGTAGTTGGGCATCGCTCACACGAAATCTTCAAAAGGAGCGTATCGGTCTGTGATGTGGGCCAGTTCTTTCTCTTGGAACCAACTAAATCACTTCGCTTGTGCCATGACATGCTCCAGGGGTGCAGAGAGCGAAATCCCTGGAGTATCGAGGGTAGATATGATGAAACTGAGCTTTTTGGTGATCCAGATAAAGCTCAGATTTTCCTTTACGTTTGACACATGTGCCTTTTTTTCATCCCACCTTCTTCTGTGCAGATTTAAAAAAAATATTGTGTTGATCACGTTGTCATATCTACAAAAACATCCAACCTTCAGAGAAATTATTTGTAACTGCTTAAAATGTACTTTGGACAGTTGAGCTTTGAAAATGGGCTCTTTCCACCTGATTGAGTCACAAACATTATCAAACTGAGACTTTTTAAAAGAGAAACATTGTGTGGAGGGAGGTATCTCTTGTGTATGTTCCTAAACTTTTCCTAAGCCGGTTAACTTGTTCATATCTCATGGATCTGTATTCCGAATTAATCTGACCTTCTAATGGCTTTTTTCATATCAATCTGGAGTTACTAGCCCCTAGACCGATAAAAACATCGATAGAACGTCGGAATAGTTCGAACTAGATCTGTAGTTGTCGATTACTTCCCTCAGCATACTTAACTCATTCTGTTGTTAAGCTTCGTCGATGAAAATACACTTAAATAATAATACATGAATTCAAACATTTCAAAGCAATTCAGGTCGCACGTGCAAACCTTGAAACACTAAAGAATTTAACATAACAAGGATGTTGCAGTTGTTAGTAAATCTACTGAAAAGTCTTATTCAAAATGTAAAGGTCTGGAAAACTTGGCTTCGTTTTGTAGCTATTTTCCTCTACCACAAAATCCGTTCACTTTCTTAACTGTTATTCAATTTTTCAAGATAGAAGAAGTTTTTGTAAATATTGCTTTTAGGCATGTTCATTTCATTTCATTTCCTATCCGCACGTGCTAATTATTAATATTAAAATCAACTAATGAAAAATATCAAATAGCATTAAAATAGTATTCGAGTAAAAGTTGCTTCCCCTTTGAGATCATAGTTCAGATTATCATGTGACATGTCAACACAAACTGGACAAAATGGAGGATACGATGATGATATCGAGTGCTGGTTTTCGGCGTATGTTTTACTTAATGACACCAAATGAATCGTCATTTAAGAATGTGGAAGATGTTCCTAGATATGTGGATGAGGTAATTATATAAAGACCCGCGTTTTTTTTATGTGAATGTCCAAATCGATCAGACTTCAAACCTCTAGAAAATACAACACTTCATCCCGTAACTGTTTATGTCAACAATGATAGCAATTTATCGCTGTTCTATGTAAGAGTGTACTATTGTAGACATAGTGTACTACTATATATAGCATTAAATCACCTGTAGCCGCTTATTGGTTATATAACTGTCCATCATATCATTACACAAGATATTTTATCTGTTCAGTTTGCTATCACAAACCTCAATGATATATCAATGATTATTTTTATAGCTGTTACAACGGCTAATGTATATCCGCCACAGTCAATACAGAGACTACTATATACAGCAGTACACATAAGCTACAATATTATACTCTAATAAAGTATATTTTCTAGTTTTTTGCATACTTTTAACGTTAAACTAACTAGTCGGTAATTACTCGGTTCGCATTTGTGTGTCATTTGTCCGCCTTTTACAAAATTGTGATTATCTGAACTTTTCCCAATCATCTGGTACTGTACTTGTTTTGGGCAAAATACTGCATAACTTAGCTAAAGGCGATGCTATCGTTACTGCTATTTTTCTGAGAAATAGTGGATGTAATCTATCCATTCCTGGCAATTTGTTAATTTTTAAATTTTGAAGTTTCTTTGAAAACAGAGTCATATATCATGCTTATTGGTTGCATCAATGAAATTCTTTTTCTATCTTGAAAAGTAGGGGTTTCTCTCTCCTCATCCTCATATTTGTTTTCTCTTTATAAATGTGTTCCTTGTGGGATTCTGATATTTTTTTTTATCATGATTCTGGATCAAAGTTTCCCAGAACTGAACAAGAAATTTGAGAGTCACTAAGAAAGATAATATATATAACTAGACAATTCTGTAAGTAGATATGGAGATGTAGATACCCTCTATATTCCAAACAGTTGACTACTGGACCTCAGGTGAAAGTCTCGGGTTTATGGTTCAGTGCTATCTACCCATGATGGTTTGGGTTTTGCAGGAAGCTGATAAATGTATGCATGGGCGATACTCTTAACCATGATGTACAGGATAACATGTGATGGGCCTCCTGTATTTTGTTCAGTTAGGTAGCCACTATAAGGAGGCCCTGTCTCAAAATGACCCTGTATGATAGACATGGGGCAATAAATCCACTAAACAAACCCAGAGAATCTAACAATTAACAACACAATGATTGAATTCTGAACACTCCTGGAAGGTATAGGCACATGGACTTTGCACAAATTTCCAACTTTTCAGTTATAGTACAGAGGTACATACTGTGCAGATGGAGATTTCCCCTTTGGACAATGACTAAAATGTCATTGACATTTGTTTTATTTCCAGGCACTTCCTGTATTCATGGTCCTGGCAATGATCGAGATCCCGATACTCTTCATTCAAGGGAAGCCTCTCCCAAGATTCAATGATACTTTCAGTTCTCTAGCTGCTGGAGTAATCTCACAGTTTCACAGGTAGGTAAAGTACTCTAGATGGAATACCCGAAGTATGGATAGAAAGGAGTTTTTATAACTTCCCACTTATACCAAGATGAGCAATATAACAGAGATTTTCTAAATTACATTTGAAATTCTTCATTCAGGTAGAGAGTACCATTAAATCTTGAAAATCTTGTGCTGCCTTTTTAGGTCATCTGACCTGACGGTTTTCAGGATGACTTATAGCCATCGTCCGTTGTCATGCACAGTGCATAAAACTGTCTATTCAAATGACTTCTTCTCAATAACCAATAGACCCAGGGTGCTAATATATGGCCTGTAGCATAAAGGGATAGATGTTAAATATGTCAAAATCTATAAACAACTTCTTCTCAATAATCAAAGGGCCCAGGGCGCTGATTTTAGGCCTGCAGTATGTTGGGATGAAATCCTACCAAGTTTGTTAATGTAAATGTCCTTTACCCCCTTTCAAGTTCACAGGTGTCAAATATGTCAATTTTTTAAATGACTTCTACTGAATAACTAAAAGGGCCAGGGTGCTGATACTTGATTTGTAGCATGAACGAATGCATGGCTACTAAATGTGTTGAAATAAATTACCTTGACACATTTTCAATGTCACATGAGTCAAATGAATTGAGATTGTTAAATTTCTTTTTCAACAAATTATTTGTCCAGAGTCATGACGTTTTTGTAGTTGCATGCATAAGGAATAGGACTTCCAGTTTCCAGAAAATGTTTTTATGAGCTAACAAAGCCTTCTTTTTAAGCAATAGAGTATTTTAGCAATTTAGGCCAATTTGGCCTCTTTCATATTTAGACTTTTATAGTCCGACAACTGTTAAAGCCCATGGCCCTCTTGTTCATTCAAAATGCCCTTTTCTTTTTAATTTGACGATCCCACATAATATTGTATATTTTCTGATATCTTAAGGAGTAGTATAATAAAATTGTAAAATGAATGTGTTAGGATATTGTTTACAATACAATGTTATTTCCCGGTTATAGTTTGCTGTTCCGGGGTGTTGAATTAGCCACCTATATCTGGGTGTACGAGCATTGGAACGTCATATCCCTACCCTGGGACAATCCATGGACTTGGTTATTTGGTCTGGTGTTTGTGGATTTTGGATACTATATAGTACACAGAACAGGCCATGGTAAGATGAATTATTGTGATGTTGTTGTATATGACTAAATTCAGGCAATCACAGAGTTGGATTATGATCCTAGGGTGTGATGTTATCATGCTATACAGATGAAAATCCAATATCACTATATAAATAGTGAATTGATGGTTGTGTGTGATGGGTCTCACTGGTAACTACAAAATAATGACCTTAGCCATATACTTTTACTAACTCAAGCAATAATCTGAGTTGTGATTGGTTGTCTGATAAATTCTTAAGACCTATACAAATCAGTATACCAGGTAGTTCAGTTTTTATCACTGACCTTGATCAGTTCAGGCTACTCAGAGCAACTGACCACAGGTATTTATTTCGCTTAAAGGATTTGAGAATGTTAAAATGTGTCAGATTTACTGGTCACTGACCTACTTTCACCTGGTACCTAATCTTGTAAATACTTGAGCATGTACATAAAACATGTGCATTGGCAGTAATAGGTACTTGACAAGAATTGGTTAGCAACAGGTATAGCTGTAGTAGTCAATTGAATTAAAGGAATTAATGGAAGGCCATGATGGCAATAATATGTCGGTTGTTGTAACATTGTTAGATGGTTCCATCGGATAGGGACTTCCTGTCAAATTTTTTCATCATGTACTACTTGTTTCTGCTGAAGTACAATACTGAACAAATAGGCAGCATATTTTCATAAACATTAGACCCTTAAGGAGAAAATATTTTGGGGAAGAAAAAAGGAACAAATGCTGGTTAAATTATTTTTGAAATATTTTATTATCACAAATTATTTACTCAATCATGATATACATGTTTTTTTTAACATACTGACAAGTTAGTGTGGTATCTCTATTGATGCAAAGTGACTCGAACCTAGATAAAATGCTTACATTGGAGTACTTTTAGATAGACAAATATTTGCCAGAAGATGTCTCTGGTGTTCTTTTCACCTGTCAATCAATATCACAACTAACGTCATCATGAACAAGAAATATAAGTGTACAGTCAGACCTGCCAATGATTACTACTCTAACACCTGTCTATATACAGGCCACTAATTTTGGTTCTTAGTGTAATATATCAGTGGTAATTGAACTTTTATACAGGTATAAGAACCACCTGTTTATAAAGGTCACTATTTCTATACCCCTAATGGATGTGAAAAGATCACCTACCAGACTACATGGGTTTTTCAAAGCTACTCTGCTTTCCTTCTACAGTAAGACATCTCACATGCTTCCATTTTGCCCAACAATTGATTGAAATATGTTTGCAATTGTGTAAATAAAGTTTTATTTTAAAATTACCATTTATTGGATATTTATCCATTCATGTCCAGCACAGGTAGAAAAGCATGAATCAAAGATAACAGTACCATCAAGTTTGACCAAATTTGGCACACCTGTTCTGCTTGTTGAGAGACCTATGAAACCCACTGAATTTCAGATTCAAGAGTCAGAGGTCAAAGTGAGTTGGACCTAATATCAAACTTTTTTTGTCAACATTCAGAAAAAAACTTTTGATGATGCTCAGAAACTTTGCGTACGTCTTCATGTTCAAGAGAAGATCAAGCTGATTGATTTTAGAGTTGGACTAAAAAAGAGACTGCTTAACACTTTACGACAAAATCAGTCCAATAAGAATAGATATATTATGTGAGTTGACAACTATACAAGTACGTAACTAAAGGAAAAAAATAAAACTTCACTTTACAACAGTAGCAAAACATATATCAATCACTGTTGTTGGCCCTAAGGATTGAAGCACATGTGAGGGATCTTACTGTGAGAGGAAACTAGAGAGCTCTGGTTTTTTGTGGTCAGGCAGGTGACTCCAATCACACCTAAGTTGCCTGTGTGAAAGGTGAATGTGTTAATACTGAACCAACTAATCAACTAAAATATGTATTTCTATATTGATAGTCCTTGCTTGTGTAACAAGTCAGTAGCAATATGTATACCGGTGTAATGTCATTTGAATATTTTAAACTATTCAGATTATTTTTAGCTAGAACAGATTAATTTGCCATAATATTTTTTTTATTACTTGTAATCACCTTTGTTTCACAGAGATGAACATCATGTGGGCAGGCCACCAGACTCATCACAGCTCTGAGGATTACAACCTTGGTACTGCTCTACGCCAATCAGCCGTTCACAGATACTTTAATTGGGTAGGATAGAGAGTCTAATATTGTTTTGTGAAGGACTATAAAGAGGAGTCAAATCATGTGGGTCATAATAGCAGGTCTATAAATTACTGGTCTGTCCTCAGTTTGTGACAAAATCAAAGATGTTTCAAAATTACATTTACTTCAAATTGAGTGAACTGCAATCATGAGACCTAAGTGGGGAAACTGTAGTTTTATAGAGTGAAATGGAGGGATTTATTAAATAATATAAGATATGTTGACAGCATTATCAGTTTTGATAGTGTGAAATCATAGATTTTCATGGGGCTCATTTTTTTTCTTTTTTTTTTTTTTAATTTTTCTAGAAATCACTATTTTGTGGACACTTAGTTTCATTTATAAGTATATCTGAATAAATTTTCTTGTACTGTTTTTAACAGTTTGCGAACATAAAAATTTGTGAATTAAGAATACCCAAAACTCTTCAAAACTTGAGCCTACTAGATGTCACTTTTATCTTCACAGATATTCTACCTGCCATTGGCTTTGGTTATGCCTCCATCTGTCTTTCTTGTTCACCTCCAGTTCAACTTACTCTACCAATTTTGGATCCATACAGAGGTATTCAGTCACTGATGATCATCAATGTGTACAGAGTAGCTGAGGGTTTCAGTAGGTAACCGTGTGTGTAAAGATAGCTGAGGGTTTCAGTAGGTAACTGTGTGTGTAAAGATAGCTGAGTGTTTGGTGGGTAACTGTGTGTGTAAAGATAGCAGAGTGGTTTGGTGGGTAACTGTGTGTGTAAAGATAGCTGAGTGGTTTGGTGGGTAACTGTGTGTGTAAAGATAGCTGAGTGGTTTGGTGGGTAACTGTGTGTGTAAAGATAGCAGAGTGTTTGGTGGGTAACTGTGTGTGTAAAGATAGCAGAGTGGTTTGGTGGGTAACTGTGTGTGTAAAGATAGCTGAGTGGTTTGGTGGGTAACTGTGTGTGTAAAGATAGCTGAGTGGTTTGGTGGGTAACTGTGTGTGTAAAGATAGCTGAGTGGTTTGGTGGGTAACTGTGTGTGTAAAGATAGCTGAGTGGTTTGGTGGGTAACTGTGTGTGTAAAGATAGCTGAGTGGTTTGGTGGGTAACTGTGTGTGTAAAGATAGCTGAGTGGTTTGGTGGGTAACTGTGTGTGTAAAGATAGCTGAGTGGTTTGGTGGGTAACTGTGTGTGTAAAGATAGCAGAGTGGTTTGGTGGGTAACTGTGTGTGTAAAGATAGCTGAGTGGTTTGGTGGGTAACTGTGTGTGTAAAGATAGCAGAGTGGTTTGGTGGGTAACTGTGTGTGTAAAGATAGCTGAGTGGTTTGGTGGGTAACTGTGTGTGTAAAGATAGCTGAGTGTTTGGTGGGTAACTGTGTGTGTAAATAGGAAATAAGGGTCTTTAGAGGGTAGCTGGGAGTGTAAGGGGGTAGCTGAGGATTCTTAGAGTAGCTGAGTGTATTAGTGGGTAGCTGAGATTGTAAGAGGGAAATGGGTGTGTAAGTAGCATTTTAGGCTTGCTGAGTGTAACAGTCAGTACCTAAGGGTTGTAAAGGGTAACTGGGTGTGTAAGGGGGAAGCTGAGAGTAAGAGTTAATGTAATACAGCATGTTAGCAAAATCCAAGGATTTTAGAGAGTGTGTTTGGGAGTAGCAGGAGGGTTTAGAGTGAAAGTGGATGTGTGTGGGGACAGCAGAGTATTTAAGGGAGTAAATCAGAGTGTTTTAGAAGGTAATCTAAATTGTTATTGGGGTAAGTTACCTAGTATCAGTAGTGTGTTAGTTAATCACTGAGGTCGCAAGGGAGTGATTTGATGCAACAGGAGGTTGGAGGTGTATTAGGTGGTGACAGAGGGTGATGGAAGTAACTGAACATGTTGGGAGGTCAAAAGAGGTTGTTAGGGAGTAACAGAGATATAACAGAAAAGTTGGGGGTAACAGAGAATGTTAAGGGTTTACTGTGTATGTTAGGGGTAACAGAGAATGTTAAGGGTTTACTGTGTATGTTAGTGGGTTACAGAGAATGTTAAGGGTTTACTTTGTATGTTAGTGGGTTACAGAGAATGTTAAGGGTTTACTGTGTATGTTAGGGGGTTACAGAGAATGTTAAGGGTTTACTGTGTATGTTAGTGGGTTACAGAGAATGTTAAGGGTTTACTGTGTATGTTAGGGGGTAACAGAGAATGTTAAGGGTTTACTGTGTATGTTAGTGGGTAACAGAGAATGTTAAGGGTTTACTGTGTATGTTAGTGGGTAACAGAGAATGTTAAGGGTTTACTGTGTATGTTAGTGGGTAACAGAGAATGTTAAGGGTTTACTGTGTATGTTAGTGGGTAACAGAGAATGTTAAGGGTTTACTGTGTATGTTAGTGGGTAACAGAGAATGTTAAGGGTTTACTGTGTATGTTAGTGGGTAACAGAGAATGTTAAGGGTTTACTGTGTATGTTAGTGGGTAACAGAGAATGTTAAGGGTTTACTGTGTATGTTAGTGGGTAACAGAGAATGTTAAGGGTTTACTGTGTATGTTAGTGGGTAACAGAGAATGTTAAGGGTTTACTGTGTATGTTAGGGGGTAACAGAGAATGTTAAGGGTTTACTGTGTATGTTAGGGGGTAACAGAGAATGTTAAGGGTTTACTGTGTATGTTAGTGGGTAACAGAGAATGTTAAGGGTTTACTGTGTATGTTAGTGGGTAACAGAGAATGTTAAGGGTTTACTGTGTATGTTAGTGGGTAACAGAGAATGTTAAGGGTTTACTGTGTATGTTAGGGGGTAACAGAGAATGTTAAGGGTTTACTGTGTATGTTAGTGGGTAACAGAGAATGTTAAGGGTTTACTGTGTATGTTAGTGGGTAACAGAGAATGTTAAGGGTTTACTGTGTATGTTAGTGGGTAACAGAGAATGTTAAGGGTTTACTGTGTATGTTAGGGGGTAACAGAGAATGTTAAGGGTTTACTGTGTATGTTAGGGGTAACAGAGAGTGTTAATGATTATTCTGGTGTGTTGGGACAACAGTGATGTGAGTAGTCACTGGATACTTTGGGAGTAAGAGGGGGTGTGAGGGATTAATGAGGTGTGTTGGAAGATAAAGAGGGTGTAAGAAGGTTATTGAATGTGTTTAGGGTAACAGGGGATGCCAGGGGTAACACAGAATATTGGAGGATAAAAGGTGTGTTTTAGATGGGGTAGGGTGAAACAGAGGGTGAGAGAGAAAGCGTTATAAATGTTTGGGAGAAAGAGAGAGTGTTAGGGAGTAATAGAATGTGTTAGGGGGTAACAGAGGGTTTTAGGGGGTAATAGAGGGTGTTAGGGAGTAAAGAGGGTGTTAGGGAGTAAAGAGGGTGTTAGGAAGTAATAGAGGCTGTAAGGGAGTAACAGAGGGAGTAAGATGGTAATAGAGGGTGTTTGGGAGTAACAGATGGTGTTAGGGTGTTATACAGGGTGTTAAGGATTAATAGAGGGTATTAAGGGGGAACAGAGGGTATCAGGTTAGGAATTAATACAGGGTGTTAGGGGGGTAAAGAGGGTGTTAGGGATAATAGAGGGTGTTAGGTAACAATAAAGGTTATTAGAGAGTAACAAAGGATGTTAGGTAGTAATATAGGGCATTTAGGAGTAACAGAGGATGTTTAGGAGTAACAGAGGATGTTTAGGAATAACAGAGGATGTCAGGGGGTAACTGGATATTTTGAGAGGCCAACAGAGGGTATGTGGAATAGTGGACAGTATTGACAGTGAATAGCAGGGATTGTGATACTTTTTTTCTCTCGTTTGAACAGACAGTTAGAAGTACAGGCCCCCTAGAGTGGATTCTGAATACCCCAAGTCACCACCGAGTCCATCATGGCCGAAACCCTTACTGTATTGACAAAAACTATGGAGGTGTCTTTATCATATTTGATCGTTTGTTTGGTATGTATCATCCTTACATTGTAGAATTTATATTTATTGTCTCTGATATACTTCAATTAGATCACTACACCTTAAAGATTGTATCAAGTATCATGTGTTTATTTTACACTCTTGAAATGTGCTCAGATAAAAGTTTTACCAAAAAGTATTAGTCCACATATGATAAATCACAAAGACAATGCAATACATGAACAAGAAACATTGTTGATTATTCACCTTTTTATGCACCGGAAAAATATTGCAAAACACATTAACACACAGGGAAGTTCTGTTTGAATGTCAACCACTTATCTAATGTGAATGTTACTGGAGACATGTTGGTGTATAGAGAAATTATCTAATGTGAATGTTACCGGAGACAAGTTGGTGTATAGAGAAATTATCTAATGTGAATGTTACTGGAGACATGTTGGTGTATAGAGAAATTATTTAATGTAAATGATACTGGAGACAAGTTGGTGTACAGAGAAATTATTTAATGTGAATGTTACTGGAGACATGTTGGTGTATAGAGAAATTATTTAATGTGAATGTTACTGGAGACATGTTGGTGTATAGAGAAATTATTTAATGTAAATGTTACTGGAGACATGTTGGTGTATAGAGAAATTATTTAATGTAAATGTTACTGGAGACATGTTGGTGTATAGAGAAATTATCTAATGTAAATGTTACTGGAGACATGTTTGTGTATAGAGAAATCATGTAGTGTAAATGTTACTGGAGACATGTTGGTGTATAGAGAAATCATGTAGTGTAAATGTTACTGGAGACATGTTGGTGTATAGAGAAATTATTTAATGTAAATGTTACTGGAGACATGTTTGTGTATAGAGAAATCATGTAGTGTAAATGTTACTGGAGACATGTTGGTGTATAGAGAAATCATGTAGTGTAAATGTTACTGGAGACATGTTTGTGTATAGAGAAATTATGTAATGTAAATGTTACTGGAGACATGTTTGTGTATAGAGAAATCATGTAGTGTAAATGTTACTGGAGACATGTTGGTGTATAGAGAAATCATGTAGTGTAAATGTTACTGGAGACATGTTGGTGTATAGAGAAATTATTTAATGTAAATGTTACTGGAGACATGTTGGTGTACAGGGAAATTATCTAATGTGAATGTTACTGGAGACATGTTGGTGTACAGGGAAATTATCTAATGTAAATGTTACTGGAGACATGTTGGTGTACAGGGAAATTATTTAATGTAAATGTTACTGGAGACATGTTTGTGTACTAGAGAAATTATGTAATGTAAATGTTACTGGAGACATGTTGGTGTATAGAGAAATCATGTAGTGTAAATGTTACTGGAGACATGTTGGTGTATAGAGAAATCATGTAGTGTAAATGTTACTGGAGACATGTTGGTGTACAGAGAAATTATTTAATGTAAATGTTACTGGAGACATGTTGGTGTACAGAGAAATTATTTAATGTAAATGTTACTGGAGACATGTTGGTGTACAGAGAAATTATTTAATGTGAATGTTACTGGAGACATGTTGGTGTACAGGGAAATCATGTAGTGTAAATGTTACTGGAGACATGTTGGTGTACAGGGAAATTATTTAATGTAAATGTTACTGGAGACAAGTTGGTGTACAGAGAAATTATTTAATGTAAATGTTACTGGAGACAAGTTGGTGTACAGAGAAATTATTTAATGTAAATGTTACTGGAGACAAGTTGGTGTACAGAGAAATTATTTAATGTAAATGTTACTGGAGACAAGTTGGTGTACCAGGAAATTATTTAATGTGAATGTTACTGGAGACAAGTTGGTGTACAGGGAAATTATTTAATGTAAATGTTACTGGAGACATGTTGGTGTACCAGGAAATTATTTAATGTGAATGTTACTGGAGACATGTTGGTGTACAGGGAAATTATTTAATGTAAATGTTACTGGAGACATGTTGGTGTACAGGGAAATTATTTAATGTAAATGTTACTGGAGACAAGTTGGTGCACAGGGAAATTATTTAATGTAAATGTTACTGGAGACATGTTGGTGTACCAGGAAATTATTTAATGTGAATGTTACTGGAGACATGTTGGTGTACAGGGAAATTATTTAATGTAAATGTTACTGGAGACATGTTGGTGTACAGAGAAATTATTTAATGTAAATGTTACTGGAGACATGTTGGTGTACCAGGAAATTATTTAATGTGAATGTTACTGGAGACATGTTGGTGTACAGGGAAATTATTTAATGTAAATGTTACTGGAGACATGTTGGTGTACCAGGAAATTATTTAATGTAAATGTTACTGGAGACAAGTTGGTGTACAGGGAAATTATTTAATGTAAATGTTACTGGAGACAAGTTGGTGTACAGAGAAATTATCTAATGTAAATGTTACTGGAGACAAGTTGGTGTACAGGGAAATTATTTAATGTAAATGTTACTGGAGACAAGTTGGTGTACAGAGAAATTATTTAATGTGAATGTTACTGGAGACAAGTTGGTGTACAGGGAAATTATTTAATGTAAATGTTACTGGAGACAAGTTGGTGTACAGAGAAATTATTTAATGTAAATGATACTGGAGACATGTTGGTGTACCAGGAAATTATTTAATGTGAATGTTACTGGAGACATGTTGGTGTACAGGGAAATTATTTAATGTAAATGTTACTGGAGACAAGTTGGTGTACAGAGAAATTATTTAATGTAAATGTTACTGGAGACATGTTGGTGTACCAGGAAATTATTTAATGTGAATGTTACTGGAGACAAGTTGGTGTACAGGGAAATCATGTAGTGTAAATGTTACTGGAGACAAGTTGGTGTACCAGGAAATTATTAATGTGAATGTTACTGGAGACATGTTGGTGTATAGAGAAATTATTTAATGTAAATGATACTGGAGACATGTTGGTGTACCAGGAAATTATTTAATGTAAATGATACTGGAGACATGTTGGTGTACAGGGAAATTATCTAATGTGAATGTTACTGGAGACATACAGGGAAATTATGTTGTGTAAATGTTACTGGAGACATGTTCGTTTACAGGGACTTTCCAAGCGGAGGAGGAGAAGGTTATCTATGGACTAGTACATCCACTTCAGTCCTGGGATCCTATCAATGCACAGGTAATGTACCTTGTGTTATTTTTGTTAAATACCAAACATAATTGCTTAGTTATTTGTGTAAATGAATACTCGGTTACAATAATTAGGAAATGAGAAACCCTAAAAGCACTTCAGCTTTGAAAATATTCGTATTTTGGTATCCTCTGAATCCACTCAGATATTTTTAAGGAAAAGGTGAAGATCTGTATCTACATCTACATCCCTGCAAGGTCCTGGTATGTAAATATTGCTAATATGTCATATTTAGATCATGACTGCTATGTCAGTGTCAGGAGTAAAATATACTTCGTCCGTCGTCGTCCGCCGTGCGCCGTGCGCCGTCCGTAAACTTTTCATTCACTCTGAATCCACTCAGATATTTTTAAGGAAAAGGTGAAGATCTGTATCTACATCTACATCCCTACCCGAAATATAAAATACAAATCTGTAAGTAAGGTACCAATTAATGATTTAGTGTTATATTACCTGGTATGTAAATATTGCTAACAGTCAAATAGAATTTGATAGGGTTTTCAGCTGGCAAGTTTCTGTAAACAGCAGTTGGTATTGCATCATATTTAGATCATGACTGCTATGTCAGTGTCAGGAGTGTTGGTTCTCCTATCTTTTCTATTTTCACGTTACAATTTGTATGTCTAAGGTAGAGCTGTCACATGATCTGTTATGTTTTAATCTCTTTAGTTACAATTGGAGTATACAGATTGTTTAATGGTAATTATGTGAAAGTTTTTTATGGTTTTCTTAATCTGATACCTTCTGTTTTAGTTCTGCCACTTAAAGTACATAATACAAAAAGTTCAAGAAGAAAAAGGATTCAGCAACAAAATGGGGGTCATTTTTAAGGGTCCAGGCTGGTCGCCAGGGAAACCATGGACAGGTTTGCCAGAGGATATCCCAGAGGTCAGTATTTGTGATGACCATACCTGACCCAGATGTATGTTTTGAATTCTAAGAGTGACAGCTAGTTTTGCTATAAATTATGTAACATTGATTAAATACTAGTTTTGAATACTTGTGTGATTGTTAGAGCCCCTAACAAGTAAGAATCCATTTGCTCATAGATTGAGATTGTTAGCTACATAATAACAATGTCTAACATATCATGTTTATATATAATTAACAGTTTTAATAAGATTTTAGATAACGATTTTGTACAGAACTGTTTCCTTGCTTACTGTATTTTCTGGATTATAAGCTTCACCTTTTTTCCTTGTGAGACACAGTTAGAGAGATATATAAGTACAACGTCAGGCCCTATATCTGTGCATAGACAACCTGTGAAGGCACCCAAGCCAAACAAATTTGATATTTGCTATTTTACATTTTTTTAAAATACATTATCATTAAAATAAAGGATCATCTGTGTTAGTTCATTTGCAAACTTCATTAAATGTTTCATTGAAGATAGTGATAAATTGCCCTTTATTGTCTATTATATCAACAAACTTTGGTCAAAGTAACAGTTACCACTTAGTAAGAAAGAGTGCAGCTCAAATTTCAGTGCAGCTTATATGTGGATCAAATAAAAAAATCTGTAAACATCAGCTCTACTGCTTTTATGCCAGTGTGGGATATGACCTGGAAAATACAATATATTAACCATATCATTGACCATACCCGACTCAGAAATATCCTTGGAGTTGCGAGAGTTACAGCTAGTTTTGCTACTTATGATATGAAATTTATTTACAACCAGTTTTGAAAAGTAGATTTACAAAAATGGTGGCAACCATTTGAGCCATTGTTAGAGCCTTTTATTGGAGATACAGGTGCCCTATTAGTAATTATTGTTTATCCACAAATGCAGTTCAAGGATAACTTAAGAATTCATATGATTTATATGAAATTTATTCCAGATATTCAGTTCACAAAAGTATATATTGAGGTCAAGGCTATTATGCCAAAGGTCAATGTCAAATTATGGATATTTTCACTTATAATCATTTTGTTATGACATTATTAAGTGAAATTGGTCAGAATTTAACTAGGAGACGAGTTATCAAATGTTAATGTCACTGGTTCAAAGAGGTCAAGGTCATGGTTCATTGGTTGAGGCCAAATTTTGTAGCTTCTTTAATGATGACAATTCCAATGATAATATACAGCATAGCTGGTTAGAATTAAACAGGAAGTGAACTGACCTAGGGTCAAGATAACTAATTGATAAAGAGCAGAAGTAGATATGATTTTCATCGAAAATGGCAATGGTCGTGTAACTTACCAAGCTGTCCACATGTTCCAGTGCTGAAAAGATGCTCCATTAATGACTTGGTAATATATACATAAACATATGCTATTGTGTAAATTTTAACCCATGTTACAGTTTTCCTTGTATTCATATGTTGCATGTAGCTCAGTAGTTACAATAACTCCATGGGTTAGAGCCAACGCCGTGTTTTTAGATGTGGGTAGGTTGTTCCTGATATCCCTTGCTTGGATACCACCCGGTATGCAGGGCGATTGAGGAATAGGGACAAACAAAGCAAGTGTCAACCGCAACAAGCGCAGGATAAGTTGGTAGTGAGTTTAATTCATCTGGTCGACCGGTTTCGCCCGAGCTATGTGGGCTTCATCAGGACAGCGAATGTAAGAAAATTACCCCTGAAGTACTAAAAATGTGGGCACGGTTATATTGTGACGTAATAATAAGAGTCACGTGAGCTATCATATATAGTGTCCATAACGGTTATAGTTAGCACAGTTCATTATAGATAGTGGTGTCTAGGAAGTTAACCTCGTTATCGCCGATATCCAAGGTAAACTTAATCGTTGGGTGAAAAGAGTTCATGGCTTGACTAAAGGAGGTAAGTTCCTCTCTTGAATGTGTCCTTACATTCGCTGTCCTGATGAAGCCCACATAGCTCGGGCGAAACCGGTCGACCAGACGAATTAAACTCACTACCAACTTATCCTGCGCTTGTTGCGGTTGATACTTGCTTTGTTAGCTCAGTAGTTATAACATTGTGAGTACATCCTGTGTTTGTATGCTGTTCTGTGTTACTGGTGTAAGCTCTGAGCCTTGCGTAAAGTATGTCTTGTGCCTTGCAATTATTTTTGAAGTTTAATGTTAACTTCAGGGATAAAGGCAGATGGCTTCTTGTTGATTAGTAAGGATATGTAGCCATACAATAGCTCCTGCTGACCTGTCAGTGTTCTAGATTTCCATTTAATCAACATAGCATGTATTTATTTTCCTACAGGTGAAGGAACCGGTGCAGAAGTTTGACAAAGACGTTCCACTCTGGACCAACCTGTATATATTTCTACACTTTTTCTTTTTGATCGTTGCCTCAGGAATAGTAGCCAAATTAAGGGAGGTGAGGAATATGATTCTGTTTTATACATTATACCTCTGGTTAGTTCAAAAAGGCAGGAGTTTGAACATGTTTTTTTTCAATATAAACAATAATTATCAGTCTGGTGATAGTATGAACCCTTTCTAGTTTGTTTCACTTACATTTTGTTTTTGTTTGAACGTATTGCAAGACTGCACATCTTAATATTTGATAAAGGCATTGGCTTCACAATAATTGCTCCATGTGGTCACTACTCAAATCAACGTTAAACACTGTGGGTAGCAAGCTGTAAATGACCACATTAGCAACTGATAGTGTCAGATTATACACATACATGTCACTTAATTAGCATTGATGTGTAGTTTAATTTATTTCATGTCTTGCCATAACATTATGTGCGCCCCACCTGACACAATTCCAGGCCCCAGCTCTGTATTAGACACTAAGCAATCAGTAAATATTTACAGACCATGGGATGTTGGCATGTGTTTTGTCAAAGAACAACATTGTTTCACTTCATATTTTGAAAAAATAATCATGGCAAGACTTGCAATAATTTCAAGATTCATGAAGATTTTAACAAACATTAATCTGTAGTCATATTTGGTCTTAATTCACATTCTGCATATCAATATGTCAATGCTGACTTCCACCAATACACAAGCAGAATTGTGCTTTTCTCCGGCTGATTTCTTTGTCACAGTATTCAAAGTTATAAAGATCAAAATGAAACCTGTGATTTATTAACAGTCGATTAACATATATTGCAGTACTATAAGTGTTTGGAAAATATTGTTTCAATCAACGCCAACCCCTAAAATACCTATTCTGACAGGTAGTTTCCTGCCTGCTAGGACACTTTTAGATACTTTGGAGTGAATTTGGGCAATGTCGACCATAACAGTTCAAACTCTTAATTTATTCACGAGCATAATTTCATATAATTGAAACAGGTTCAGCAATATTTGTTCAACTTGAAGGCAGGTTTACCGTAGTCATAGTTTCTATTATTTATCATAGAGTTTTCATTATTTTCAAGTGACTTGCGAGGCAGTGTATATCAGACTGTTTTTTTTGTATATTTTACAAATTTTCTGACCAATGCCTATTTCTGATTTCATGAATGGTGTTACAATTTACAAGTATTTCCGCCCACCTTGGGATGAAGTTGGGGAGAGGTTATGGCATTCTATGCCAACATATGTTCAATTTTTTTCCTCACTCTAACTACTTCATCAGTGAGTACTGGTTAGCGCTGAATAGGCTGCTCCCATTTTGCTCTCCTGACAATCTCATGTTTTTTACCAGATATACTTCTTAGACATCATCCTGATTTGGCAGACACCTACATTGGTGCATTGTGATCCTAATAATCAGTTTTGGATTGTTTTATGAACTTTTGGATATGACCACAGTGTGACTATCAGACCATGACTTTTACCTACACCAGGTGCCTATTGTTAGCACTGAGACATGTGAAGCATGTGCCTAATCAGCCGTGGCAGAATGTTATTGAGAGACTAAATCTGTGTGCTACTAAATCTCCATCTACCCTGACCAGTGAATTCTGCTCACGCACAAGGAGAGGTACTAAAGGTGGCAGAAAAGTTATAAGAACAATACCCTGTATGACTACAAATGGACAAAACACCATCAACACTGTTATTAGGCAGACAGGTGTTAATAGAAACAACTTAGTACACCTAATTACACAGCATGGCCTCTCACCATCATCTACATCTGATGTTAATGATACTGTGTGTGTTATACCATCTCATGTTTCCACAAGGTCCAAGACATCAGGACAACAAAGACTTGTCAATTATGGAAACCTCAAATATCTAAGGAAACATCATGGACATATTCCATCGCCTTCCCCTCTGAAACTGATAACATTGAATTGTCGTTCTGTTAAGAACAAGGCATCGTCCATTAGTGATCTATTGATATCTAATGACTCAGACATTTTGGCAATAACTGAAACCTGGTTGGGTACTTCAATAGACTCGAGTGTAATTTCTGAACTTCTGCCCACTGGTTACAGCATCCTGCATTCCTCTCGTGATGGACGAGGAGGAGGAATCGCAGTGGTTTACCAGTCCAATTTGGTGTTAAAGCAAGTGGTGTCTCCAGATGAGAATGACTGGACTAACTTTGAGCATGCAGAGTACTCAGTAACTGCTGGCTCTACTTCACATTTTAGGCTCTGTGTAATATATCGGCCACCGCCTTCTAAAAAGAACGGCTTTCGAAACAGTCAGTTTTTCGAACAGTGGTCTTCCTATCTTGATCTCCAAGCTGCAATATCACAGGATGTTGTTATAACTGGTGACTTGAACTTTCACCTGGATGACTCTAACGACGGCGACGCCCATCGGTTTTTGAATCTCTTGGAAGGCTACAACCTAGTTCAGCACATTACAGGGGCCACACACATCCATGGACACACGTTGGATGTAGTAATCACATGCGATGGAAATCCTCTCATTCTGTCTGTGCCATCCATCTTTGATCCTCATCTCAGTGATTCCAAAGGTAATATCATGTGTGACCACCTGGCTATTTGTACCTCCTTAAATGTCTCAAAGCCCAAACGAATCAGGAAAGAAGTCTCATTTCGGAGATTCAAATCAGTTTGTACGGCAGATTTGATTGAGGATATTAAATCATCCCATACTCTACAGTCTGTAGATGGCACAGTGGATGACCTCGTAAATGCCTACAATACTGGTATATATACCATCATTGACAAACATGCTCCACTGATTTCTAAAGTTGTGACATTGAGGCCTAATACCCCGTGGTATAATGGAGAACTCTGTGGTGAGAAATAGAAACGGCGCACAGCTGAGAGGTTATGGAGGAGAACACGACTTGCAATCCACAATCAGTTATACAAAGACCAGTGTCGAAAAGTGAGCAAACGTCTTATTCAAACCAAACGTGAATATTACTCCAGTAAAATTGAACATTGTCGCAATAATCATAAATATCTGCACAAACTTGCCAAAGGCTTAATGGGTCAGAAACATGATACTGTTCTTCCAAGTTGAACAAGGTGAACATTTGACAAAGTTTGACCCGGTATCTATTGACGAACTTAGCAAGATTATCATCAGTGCGCCTTCCAAATCCTGCGAACTTGACCCTATTCCTACATATCTGCTATCATTAACAAGTTTCTGGTTGAGCAAAGGGTACCGATTTGTTTTAAAACAGCCATTATTCGGCCATTGCTAAAAAAACAGGGTTTGGACAAGGAGGTGATGAAAAACTACCAGCCAGTATCAAACCTGCCATTCCTGTCTAAAATTCTGGAGAAGGTAGTGGCAAAGCGTCTAGAAGCACATCAACAGAGACTGCTATTTTGAGGGTACACCATGACATAGCAAATGCATTGGACTGCAATTGTTCAGCTGTTCTTGTACTGTTGGACTTATCCTCCGCGTTTGATGTTATTGATCACGGTATACTGTTTAAGCGGTTGGAACATACATACGGTGTGTCCAATGATGCACTCTCCTGGATACAGTCTTACTTAACTGACAGGAGGCAAAGTGTGGCTATAGGCAGTACTACTTCCAAGGATAGAACACTGTCTTTTGGTGTACCCCAAGGATCAGTACTTGGGCCAAGAAAGTACTGTCTTTACTCCAAACCGATCGGAATAAGGAATATCGGGTGTATTCAGCAATTTCTGTCCACTGATGCCTGCAAGACTCTAGTGCATTCACTCGTAACAACCAGACTGGACTATGGGAATGCTTTGTTATATGGCATTCCAGGTACATTGGCTAAGCGTCTCCAGAGAGTGCAAAATACTGCGGCGCGACTCATTACAAGAACTAAAAAAAGGGACCATATAGCACCTGTGCTGGAGTCCTTACATTGGCTTCCATTTGAATATCGCTGTCTGTATAAGCTGCTCATGACTGTGTTTAAGGCTCTCCATGGGAACTCACCAGAGTACCTCAAGGAACTTGTACGTCCCTATAAACCAACTCAGACACTGAGGTCACAGTCTGGTGCATTGCTTATTTCCCCCAAAGCAAGGGCTGCCACATATGGACACCGTTGCTTTGATACAGCAGCAGCACACTTGTGGAATAATCTTCCATTTTCCATGAGGAACATAGAATCTCTGTCTGCTTTTAAATCTGCACTGAAAACACATCTTTTTAAAACAGCCTTTAAATTGTGATAGGATTTCTATTGATAGACAGTGTATGACATAGTTTTAATGTTTTAGGTTTTTTGTGATGGACATTTTACATTGATTGATAATGAACGATATACTTTTATGCTTAATTTTTTATGTTATTTTATGTAAAGCGCTTTAGTGTAATCCTAACGAATTAGATAAAGCGCTATATAAATTTAGTATATTATTATTATTATTATCTTTAATAGAATTTGATCAATCTCCATCTGTTGGTAGAAAACCAGTTACAACTTAAGTAAGGCATTGTCAGTGCTCTAACAGCAACATCTCTTGAGATATTAGGATCAAACTTCATTTTCTTATAAATGAATTACTGTTATATACGTTTGGGACATGTTTTAGTTTCAGGGTTAGAAGATCAAGCTCACCATTACTGATTTTAGAAACTGTCTTTATCATCTTTATTCCAGAAGGGATATCATTCAAACTTGAAATTTGTATAGAGGAACATAATATCATGGAGAAGTTTGAGTTTGAGGGTTGTAGTGTCAAGTACACCATTAATATTTCCACAAAAACTTATTAGCACTTTCAATGGCTTCCTTCCTAATATTACACACTTGGCCATATTCTTTAAAGTTTTTGGGAACCTATTGCTGGAGTTTATAAAGTTCCTTTCATAACATAAGCAATACATTCTTGTATCAATGTCGAAAACATTTCTTCATTAAGATGGACACTACCTGGCATGCCTCTTCAGCAGATTAACAGGTATCAACTAAATGTTTTTTTCAGGCTATCTCACCAGTGTGGGTTGTGGCCTTTATCCTGTACATGCTGTCCTCACTGACAGTCTTTGGAGCTATTTATGATAACAGGTATGAGTTGAAAGAGGTAAAAATGTCTTATGGTTTTAAAAGACAGGTTGTTGATATAATGTGTGAGAAATAGTTTATCAAACCAGTGTTTATAGACAGATGTTCATAATAGATGTGGGAGGTACATATAGAAATGCTAAGGGTTTAGACAAGAAGTAAGTTAAAACAGTGTCATGAAATTTGTAGTAGTAATTGCCAAATGTATTTATAGACAATGATGATGGTTAAACGTGCTTATCATTTAATATATCCATGAGATATTTTGGCTGTGTGTAAATATTGTTAACATGTGACGTTGGGTTTAGATAATGAATTCAAGATACATAACTACAGATCACATTTTGACTTAGCCATGGAGACCATAGATGTAGAGGCAAAGTGATTAAGTTTGATGTGGAAATGTCTGTTTTCTACAATGTTTGCCTTAATAACCTCTCTAATGAAATGGATTTTAAAATCAAAAAAAAAAAAAAAAAAAGAGAAGAAAAAGTCACTAAAGCTCCCAAAATCACATATCAAATGATAGCTGGTGTAATCTAATAATAGTTATATATAACTCTGTGGACAGTCAAACTGTAAAGCGGGTTTGTCAGTATTCATATTATCAGCTTTTGAAGTCCACATTAAAAAAATATGTATTCCTTACTACTTCATTTGCATTAAAAATATCTTTGTATTTTTTGCAGGAGTTATGCCCCTTTGGTTGAACTCTTTAGATGTGGTGTGTTTCTTGTGGTGGCAAATTTCACTCTTCCAATGGCACCATCCATGGTTAACGTTGGTTATGGCCTGTGCTTGATTTATGGTGCATCTGCTTGTGTTTGGCTGTGTATAAGTGCAAGGCAAAGTCTGCTAAAAGAGAAAGTGAAGACATCATGAGATATATTTTCCTGATGAAAAAATTTAGACTTTGTAATGATAATTCTGGTGAAGAAAGTCAAAAGATCAGAATGTCAAGCTTTGAGACAGAAGAGTTGAAACTTTTAAATTCATTCCAAAGAGAAAACTTCATATCACATGACCCAATATTATTCATTCCTAAAATTATCATTTACAAAAATGTTCCTAACGAGAGGATTTCACTTATAAAACACAGTATAAAGATTTTAAGTCTTTTCCCAGATAGGTCTCACAATTCTGTTGTTGACTGATTTTCTTTAACAGAAATTCCCCTAGAGTTGATGAATGCATGTTAATTGCACCCAGATTTCTTATCTTTGCTGGGATATGCGAGTCAAATGAATTCCAAAACATTAACCTGAAACCGAGATTAATTTGTTTGGACCTACCTGCTGCCTTGGACTTAAATTTGCAGATCTACTTTTTATGCTACAGAATTGAAAGATCCAGGACAAATTTTTTTGTACTGTCGTTTTGTTTGTCTTGTCAACTTTAACCTTGCCTATAACTATTGCACTGTAAGAGGTGATGTAGGGCTTTCATATTTGGCACTTGCGTTCCTTGTCCTTGTGACAAGACCTTTCCAGTGGTACCACAATTTTTGACCATGTGACCTTGATTGTGACATGATCTACATTTAGAAAATTGTGCATGCAATTAGCACATGCCTTGCAAAGCAGTTTTAATGTCCCATTTCAGAATTTTGTTGCAACCAGGGGCATTGTGTTCCATTAATACATCTTTATTGAATTTATTTATTTAATTTGAATTAAAAACAAAGGGCTTTTGTATTTTAAGCTTATGTGTTTTGAAATCGATGTGTTGAATTCATTGTTTCCAAATTTGTATTTTTTGGCATGTATGATATTTGGTACATGTATATTTGTACAGGTGCTGATACATCTTGACAATATTGACACTGAAAACAACACACAGATGTATGTAAGACATTTGGTACATGTAGCTTTATAACTGTATTAAGACAGGTACATATTGAGAAAATTGACACTAATAACAACACACAGGTGTATGTAAGATACTTGGAACATGTATCTTTTATGTTTTGTATGAATACATATTTAGCATGTAATTTTTAAGTGTTTTTCATATATGTATACATTTTATGGTTATTTTCTAAATGCTTAAGAGTAGCTAAATGTAGAAATTCAAACAAATGCATGTGTAAATATTGCTTTTATTTCATCATTTATCAATTCTTTTTCTTAAGAATTAACCTTTGAGTAGTTATTGACAAGATCATTAAATTTGGAATGTTTTGTCAGAGTTTGTGTCGGAGATGGGTGTGTAGCATGGGCTTCCAATGGGAAGTTTGAAAGAGAAAGGGGTTATGCTAATATTTAAAAGGTTACTCCTCAATGTGTAAAGATGTATTACTTGTATCCTAATTCAACACAAAATGTCTTGGTGCCAATCAATTATCATTGTATAGAAATGGACGGAATGGATGTGGACAGGCCATGTATAGGAACATTGGAGTGATGAATTATCCCAATATTCAATACAGATAAAGGGAAACAATTCAATAGAAATCAACCAAAATTGAGAATATATGCATTTGCTACCTGGTAATTGTTTATAACATTTGCTTTTAATTAACAATCAACTTGTGAATTTCTTGGGTTAAAATGTGATATTAGTCATGATTCTGTTGAGTATTTTGTTAATTTTCAGTGATATAAGGTGCTATCTGTGATATTTTATTTATTTTGTTAATTAATAAAAACCATTTATTGATAATTTGAATGTGTTTATCATTCATTTCAAAATCCAAATACTGGAAAAAGTTCGGTATCTTTATTCTCACCTCAGTCCATAGAAGTTGTGTCACAGGGCTTTGAGTGCTATTCATGGCAATTATTTTTCAATTCACTTTCACAGTAAAGTGTTATGAAGGACAATCTTTATGTTATTGCCTTGTAGACATGGTGTAGAGAACGAAACATTACAGGTACTTGTGGACTCTATTTCAATAGCACTTAAAAATAACAAACAGCAGCCTTATCAAAAAGGAGTTTTTGAGTCCACAAGTACCTGTGGGATGGACCTAAATTAATGTAATGAATGATTTTGTCAATGAAGTAGAAGACGATAGCCCTTTTGGAATGCCTGGCCGTATTGTAAAAAAAACAATTTGAAGGGTCTGCAATAGATATTGTTTGTTCATATTTTCTCCATTTTATTTACTTTCTTTCCCGCAAAGCACAATTTCATGGTCTTTGAGTTAACTTTAAACATGGTATATGTACATGGCAGTTTTCTGGATCCTTTGTACACTACATACCTGTTAGGTGCCCACGAAGCTGAGGTTTTTACAGAATATCTGTAATTGTAATCCAAAGAATAGTGTTCTACTTTACAGTAATCACTTTCTGGAAGAAGTTTTACATAATAAAGAAACTTTGATTACGACAAGATGTTGGGAAAAGCACTCACATGCGGGCTCTTTATATTATTATTTAGATATTGAACGCATATTTAAAATTTGATATAGAGTACCTCAAACTGGTCCAGATTTAGAGGTCCTCAACAAACGTGTGTTCAACTGCTAACTTACGAAAGGCTAATCATTGCGCTATCCATGATATTGTTTGCCAATACATGTAATAAATACAAAATGTACATAACATATTCCTATTCTTTCTATCGTGCGTGTCCCCGCCCCTCCCACAACAATTAACTAAATCTGGTACATCATATGGCATCTGATAGTGAAAGGAATAAATTACTTTTCACTTACGTCTGGTTCCCTTTCGTATTATTATTGTCTATCTACATTCCAAGATGCTTTTCGTGTTTTATTTTCATTGTAAATTCCTCGGAGCTACAGGAACCGTTTTAAAATGCCTGGTCAGCGTAAAGTGATTCCCTCGTGTACATTTCAATTCTATCAACTCGTGTCAGCATTTGTTGAATCGAATACAAACTTCTTTTATCGAAGTTTTCGGCAAAAATCTGAAATTCTCGTCAATCTTTGCTACAAAAATTAAAGCAGCAGCATCATTCTACTTCTAGATTAGTTTTGAACACAATAGACATAAGTAAATATTTTAATTACTATTAAATTTACTGTTGATATGAAACTCTCCGCCGCCTCCCCCGTTTTGCTGTTTCAGTGATGCAACAGAACTTCTGAGGGTCATTAATACCATTTTGTTTAAGTCCTCGTAATAGACTAACTTTTTCTAGGTAGTTCGATATTTCAACAAGGAAAGGTATGCGCATGCTCACTTCACTTTCTACTGACACCTCAGTTTTGTGGACAAACTTAGCACATGCATGTTTTTTATTAGCATCCTCAGCCCCCAATCGACTGTCAAACTCATCGCTAAACCATAATTTGATTTAAATACAGATCTTATTTTACCACCTCAGCGTTCACTATGTACATTAATGAACGGAAAGTATTGGAGTGGTAAATTAACATCTGCATTTTAACCAGATTTCGCTAAACCCTGACAGAGGGAAAACGAAGGGGAAGTAACTATAGGAGATCATAATGTTGATTGGCAGCTACTGACGAAATGATCTCGCAAAATTATCATAGGCACATTACGCGTTGTACGAAAGCTATACGATAACGCTACCTACCTGTTTCTAGACGAAAAGGAATATGCCCGTCTGCTGACTTACCAAGCTAGTACATTCTAGAACTGCTGACTTACCAAGCTGGGACATTCTAGAACTGCTGACTTACCAAGCTGGGACATTCTAGAACTGCTGACTTACCAAGCTGGGACATTCTAGGACTGCTGACTTACCAAGCTGGTACATTCTAGAACTGCTGACTTACCAAGCTGGTACATTCTAGGACTGCTGACTTACCAAGCTGGTACATTCTAGAACTGCTGACTTACCAAGCTGGTACATTCTAGAACTGCTGACTTACCAAGCTGGTACATTCTAGAACTGCTGACTTACCAAGCTGGTACATTCTAGAACTGCTGACTTACCAAGCTGGTACATTCTAGAACTGCTGACTTACCAAGCTGGGACATTCTAGAACGTCTGACTTACCAAGCTGGTACATTCTAGAACGTCTGACTTACCAAGCTGGTACATTCTAGAATGTCAGACTTACCAAGCTGGTACATTCTAGGACTGCTGACTTACCAAGCTGGTACATTCTAGGACTGCTGACTTACCAAGCTGGTACATTCTAGAACTGCTGACTTACCAAGCTGGTACATTCTAGAACTGCTGACTTACCAAGCTGGGACATTCTAGGACTGCTGACTTACCAAGCTGGTACATTCTAGAACTGCTGACTTACCAAGCTGGTACATTCTAGAATGTCAGACTTACCAAGCTGGGACATTCTAGAACTGCTGACTTACCAAGCTGGTACATTCTAGAACTGCTGACTTACCAAGCTGGTACATTCTAGAACTGCTGACTTACCAAGCTGGTACGTTTTAGAACTGCTGACTTACCAAGCTGGGACTTACCAAGCTGGGACATTCTAGGACTGCTGACTTACCAAGCTGGTACATTCTAGAACTGCTGACTTACCAAGCTGGTACATTCTAGGACTGCTGACTTACCAAGCTGGTACATTCTAGGACTGCTGACTTACCAAGCTGGTACATTCTAGGACTGCTGACTTACCAAGCTGGTACATTCTAGGACTGCTGACTTACCAAGCTGGTACATTCTAGAACTGCTGACTTACCAAGCTGGGACATTCTAGGACTGCTGACTTACCAAGCTGGTACATTGTAGAACTTCTGACTTACCAAGCTGGTACATTCTAGGACTGCTGACTTACCAAGCTGGGACATTCTAGAACTGCTGACTTACCAAGCTGGTACATTCTAGGACTGCTGACTTACCAAGCTAGTACATTGTAGAACTGCTGACTTACCAAGCTGGTACATTCTAGGACTGCTGACTTACCAAGCTAGTACATTGTAGAACTGCTGACTTACCAAGCTGGTACATTCTAGGACTGCTGACTTACCAAGCTGGTACATTCTAGGACTGCTGACTTACCAAGCTGGTACATTCTAGGACTGCTGACTTACCAAGCTGGTACATTCTAGGACTGCTGACTTACCAAGCTGGTACATTCTAGGACTGCTGACTTACCAAGCTGGTACATTCTAGGACTGCTGACTTACCAAGCTGGTACATTCTAGGACTGCTGACTTACCAAGCTAGTACATTCTAGGACTGCTGACTTACCAAGCTGGGACATTCTAGGACTGCTGACTTACCAAGCTGGTACATTCTAGAACTGCTGACTTACCAAGCTGGTACACTTACCAAGCTGGTACATCCTAGAACTTCTGACTTACCAAGCTGGGACATTCTAGAACTGCTGACTTACCAAGCTGGTACATTCTAGGACTGCTGACTTACCAAGCTGGGACATTCTAGGACTGCTGACTTACCAAGCTGGTACATTCTAGGACTGCTGACTTACCAAGCTGGTACATTCTAGGACTGCTGACTTACCAAGCTGGTACATTCTAGGACTGCTGACTTACCAAGCTGGTACATTCTAGAACTGCTGACTTACCAAGCTGGTACATTCTAGAACTGCTGACTTACCAAGCTGGTACATTCTAGAACTGCTGACTTACCAAGCTGGTACATTCTAGAATGTCAGACTTACCAAGCTGGGACATTCTAGGACTGCTGACTTACCAAGCTGGGACATTCTAGGACTGCTGACTTACCAAGCTGGTACATTCTAGAACTGCTGACTTACCAAGCTAGTACATTGTACACTACTGATTACTTTTTAGTTCACATTTGAGATCCCTTTCTCGAACTGGGATCTTTGTTCCAATGCTTACTCCGAAACCGCTTCGGACATACTTTGTTATTCGAGTGGCTTTACCATGGAGACGGTTTCCTTTGGGAAACTTTTTCTCTCGGACTCAAGGAGGAATATTAGGGCGTCCTGTACGGCGTCTTCGTAATCATTGGTTACTATTACAATGCATATATTGGTTCTACATTTTCCATTTTAATGAGAAAACCAGAAATAATATAATTGTAAGAAGGAGTATTGAACTCTGACACTGGTACACAACCACACTGATTCTGTTTCAGTAATGGAATTGGATATTTTTCTCTCGAATGTTCGTAAAATATTGATCATATGATATTGAAACTCTTTACTGAGGCATCGTCCGCTTAACCAAAATGTATGATTTACTCGAGAAACCACCGTACACAAGTTTAATTTATAAAACCATCTCCCATCAACGTTATAAAGTAAACACAATGTACCGACGACTGGTGAGTTAACTGACAATTATATCACACTTTTTTTTTGTAAAAATGGGTCCGGATTAAAAATGTGAAAAAACCGCTCATATCTTTTCTACTTCCATTAGACTCTAGCGGACGTTGAAGCTACATTTTAAAAGCAGCATGATTATTATTTTTAATTAAAATCTAACCCAAGGTATCTAGGAATATCGCATTCCTGTCGAATTCTCCGACACGAATCAAACCCGCGGGTTTCTAGTGTGAGAATGTAAAACTCTTCCGATTGAACCAATGGAAGAGATGAGACTTATCTGGACATTTGTCACTGAAGTTACCATTTGGCTTAATAAATTAAAACTTTTGAATTGTTACTCGCCTTTCACTGAGTATGATTCCTGAAACGGACGTGAATAGGTATGAGGGCATGTGCGCGACCACGTGGCTTTTCCCCGGGTACTCTATTCTCCCCAAACAATAAGACCCCTTCTGCATTTCCATTCGGGCCGACCAGAATGCTTGTTATAAGCTTAAGGTTTGTTCCGCAATTAATGAATGATATTTATATTTTAAATATTTTGGTGTGCGTCATATTGATATACAAATAATTTACTTTGGTGTTGTTCATTTATTGAGAGTTATGCCCGTGTTCGTTGACCTTTCTATGGAAAATCGTGACCTCAAGTAATTGCTTGCTTCTCTAAATACGACAATGCCATCGGTCTGTCGCGTCGCAAAATCGGTCGGTATGAGAAAGTTTGGTTCACGAACAAGACCAGAAGCGCTGAAGTATCGCAACATTTACATTTGATGCCAATTACAATATTACTGAATCAGAACTCGACAGAGGTAGAAATCGACTGCACTGGGAGTACAAAAACCCGACTGCTCACTTCTGTGATCTGACCAGTAACATTTTCAAACTAATTGTGACTCGATTTGTTGTTGGGATCAGGAGCACACAAAAAGCATGCAATATCAAGTCGTGAGCGCATACCAATTATATCAGTACACTTTGTTTTTCTGTCACCCCAATCTGGTGTATACAGCTGTTAGTGAATTCACATGGAGTTTTATCACGTAAAACATATATATTGATGTAGAAGCATTGCTATGTGTTTGTTTATAATATACTATGTTCAATGCTGGATAAAACTTGACATTTAACTAATTGTAAGTGAAGTAACTGCATTATAATTGGATGCTTTATTCCTTAGTTATTAATCATATATAGTTATAAGTAACGGCACAAAAATATGCTTCCAGATATAGATATTAAGATGACAGAGCGACGTGTTAAATTGTTAACATTCTGATAAACTCCATAACTATGTTGAATGACTCACTGAGTTAATCCAATCAAATTGTGTTCCGGGTCACGTGACCCAGGTAAAGGGACGGAATCCACGCAAACACACCTGCGCTGGTCATGGCGCAGATGAAAGGCTTAATTTTAATTCTGGCAATAATTTGCCAAATATGCCACGGATATGTACGAGACAGTAAGTAAAATGTTACGTTATTCTGGTAAATTCCGTGATTTATTAATCAGGAGATGTGCATACCTGGTACAGGTAATTAACACACCTGGGTGTTGACCCGAATTCAACTATGTTCAAAATGGCGGAAAATGTTTTGATTTACAATAATAGCGGAAGTGGATATTTTTACCCGTATATCATATTTTTTGAACGAATCCATTATTCTTAATGAAATAATATGCACACGCATGTTAGCCTTTTCATGACAAAACATTCACGTGTATTCACAGCAGACACTAATTTTGTTGAGAGGAGTGTGTAATACGACCGTGATCAGTTTCGGACCCGGGGTATTGAAATTGTATAATGAATAGGGTTCCCAGATTTTGTGGTCTGAATTAATAAAGAAATAGCATGAAGCCCGACAAGGGTTACTGATAGCGACGGGTGCATGGTGGCCAGGAGATGGAAGATAGGTATTTCTTTCAAGAGTAACTTCTGGTCATGAAATCTGCCAGACACATTTTATAGAATCTCAATGTGCGTACTCATGTTTTATAGAATCTCAATGTGCGTACTCGTACAGTCTAAGTTTTAACTGTGTGTACATATACACTACACAAAAATATTCAATAGACCATTGAAGACAAGAATGTATATTTGAATAGTCAATATGAAATTTAAATTATAACGCCCTCATGTATTTCATATGTCTCCTGCCCAATACCAGACACAAAACATACAGATTTGTCCAGCTGTCCACATCCTTTATAATCGGGACAGCTGTACATATTTGTCCTGCTGTACAGTAAAGTACAGTAAAACGTAGAGTGTTTTTAAACAGTAAAAATTAGAGTGTTTTTAAACAACCTGTACTAGCTATATATATTTAAGTGCCTCCCCCAACCTGCTGCCATGTAGTTTATAAATTGTGATGCATGTAAGCTAGTCTTAACAAATAACTGTATGTGCTGATTTACACATAGGTCCATGCTGTTGCTATATAATTGAGACATGTCAGTAAAACATTTCGCACATTTCTCTACGTTTACAGAGACACCATATCGTGACACAGACTGTCTAGATGGGACTCCAGTGGGTATTGGTGTGGACAGTGGGTCCAGGATCCCTGATGGCAATATGTGGGCTTCATCATCAACCAGCAGTATCAGGCTTCCTGCTAGAGGCCGACTCATGGAAACTGCAGGTAAAGTTTTCATTAGAGAGCTTTTTGGTTGATAAGCTAACAATACTAAGAGAGAAAACATAAATAATGATTTATACATATAGTGAAAAAAAAAGAAAAGAAAATTTACATTCATATGGAATTGCATTAAAGATTTTTAAAGAAAGGTCTTGAATTTCTGTGAGGAAAGCATAATATTTTTGTTTATCCAGGATCCTGGACATCTAAGGTACAGAACTCTGCACAGTACCTTGGAATAGACCTGGGACGGGAATACCTTCTGACACGACTACAGACCCAGGGACGACAGGGCACTGACGAATATGTTACAGAGTTCATGCTTTCCTTCTCTGTCGACCGTAAAACTTGGCGTTTCTACTCCAATGAGTTTGGTATCAGAGAGGTATGTATGATTTTCATACCTTCAGCAGTCAAAATTATATATTTTCAGAACTTCTTGGTCAACCCATTGAATTAATTGGTCATGTGACTGAACCCTTCTTGCCTTTCATATGTGAATCCTCTTGTACTTGGCTAGGGATACACATATTGAGCCATTATATTTCTCGAAAGTTGTGTATTGTACCCGAACTCCCATTATTTTGTCTAACGCTTGCCAGACACAACTGAATCTCCAGATGCCCTGGTTGTCTGTTCAGGGCTTTGTGAGTGATGTTTTGGCTTATGTTTCCAGTACAGCCTTCCCAGTTAGTTGGTAGAGAAGTCTGAGTAAAGAATTATTACCCTCCTTCAACAGGTTCCAGTGTTCTAAATTTCTGATTAGTCATCTCATTTAAAAGAACTTTAGTATCGAAAAGACTACTTAAGGTTGTTACAAGAAAAAATAAGAAAATCTGTTGTTAAAATTTCTTCTACATGTATTTGGTTGTCTGCAGCTGTTCCAAGTCACAGAGATGTTTAATGATTAAAGTTACATGTATTTGGTTGTTTGCAGCTGTTCCAAGTCACAGAGATGTTTAAAGCTAATGCTTAGAAATTTTTTCTGGACAAGAAAGCCAGTTTCCTTAATATTCAGTTCATTTTGTTTTTTCTTTTTTCTTCTTCGAAGTTTGAAACAAGACAAAATAATTTGTGGTTAAATGTAAGAAATACAGACTACATGTTTTTGTTAAATATATGGTTATTTAACCAGGCAGAAGCTTCTGCTATGTAGTTTAATTTACAATAACAAGGATCAGGCTTTATTTATGCTAATTTTATGGTAATTTCATTGTCTTTAGTATAAACATATGTTAAGAACAGAATTTTGTTGTTATATTCTGTTGACTTTCGATTTGATTGTTTTGACAGATGTTTATTGGTAACAGCAATGGTGACATGGTAAAAACAAACACGCTGAAGTACCCAGTGGTGGCACGCTATGTCCGCTTTCACCCGTCCCGTTGGAACATGGTCATCTCTATGAGAGTGGAAGTACAGGGTTGTCCTTACAGTATGTAGTATATCCTCTTCATTTTGACTGAATTCCCTGTAAATCACACATCTCTTTGGGTAGAGAAGATGTAACTTAAGATTATAGATGTTCAGCCACTTAACTGAAATTCCATTACTCTTTATGATTAATTTTTTTAAGTGTTTAATTTTTTTTCAAAGATAAGTATTGACCAACAAATCTAACTAAATTGATTTTAACTGCCCTTCAGTTGGACATATGAATTCATGGAATAAGAATACTTACAAAATCTACATGAATAAACCCCCCAGTACGTCCATATATCACTTATGCTGAAGAACAAAAAAATTCTTCTTGTCAATCCAAAATATATCTGGTTTGACTTGTCTAGGTTTCTTTATTTCATCATCTAGAAATGATTTACATATGAAAGGATTTTCTTTATCAACAAACACTTTTTCTGTTTTTAGATTCACAAACAGTGAGGTTTGATGGTGGCACTAGTTACATTAGTTACGACCTCAGCAGGCAAGTTCCTCCACCAAGCAGTATTGAGGACAACATCAAACTCCGCTTCAAAACTAACAAACAAGATGGTGTCATTCTTTTTGCTGATGGTAACCAGGGTGATTACTTGTCACTTGAACTGGTTGGAGGAACACTGTATTTCCATCTAGATTTAGGTAAAACTGAACTCCTTTTTTTTCTTTTTTCCATATACATATATCTTTTTGTTAAAATTTAGCATGTTTTCAGCAACTTTTGCAGCAATGTTTGTTATGACTTTGGAGACAATGATTTTGGTTGGTCGCTTTGTATATGTAAAGCTGTTTGTGATTTGCTGTTTAGGCTCCACTACAAAAGTTGCTGGGACCACTGACCAGCTCGGAGGTAATATGCTGGATGACAGCCAGTGGCATGATATCATAATACGACGAAATCGAACTACTGTGATGCTGATTGTGGACAGGATGGAGACTCGTTTTGAAAGCAATGGAGCATTCTACCGACTCAATGTTGACAAGAAGGTAGGAGACTTAACAGCAGTTTCAGATGTTGTTTCACCTGAATATATGAACAATTTTAGTTTAAGTCCAAACCTGAATGTGCTTAAAGCTTTCCTGTCATTTCCACTCTATTATATATATATATTTATTTTTTTAACACACTCTGTCATTATTTATCCAACTGTATCACTCATTGTGTGTAGTAATTCTCAGTACTCTGATGATATGCTTTATATCTAAAAAAAATGGAGATGAGTTGTGCTGAACAGATGATATAACATCATCATAACATATAGCAGATTACACAAGCAGAATTACTAGTCCATTGAAGTCTTGGTTTTCAGTTTACCAGATGTCAGACACAAATGTTCAATTCCCATTTTTATGAATTTTTTGTGAAAATTGATGTTTTTTTCTGTCAGATATACATTGGGGGTGTGCCAAGTTTTGATCAACAAGGTTTGACTGTGAAGACCAACTTCGCAGGATGTCTGGAAAATGTTGTGTTCAACAGTCTGAAGATTATTCGCGATGCCCAGGCTGGACAAACTGGTTACCAGATGGTTGGGTCTGTGCCTGATCCCTGGAACTGCAAGGTTTGTTTAAGTTCAAAGGTCACTTCAGTTGCTAGACCCAGCTACCCTTTCATTTTTCTATGTATAGTATATTAATTTGGTATAAAACTGGGGATTGAAAGTGTTATATTTTTATTAATGGCATTTATCATCATAGCAATGTGACTAATTTAATCAGAATATATCAAATTAAATTTGTTCTAGCCTTTTGAACTGATGTTTGTTAAATGATATCTGCTTGTAAAGTTTGAAATGATCTATTTACAGTTCACCGCACCTATCCCAATGACCTTCTTCACATTTGACTCGTTTGCTGTGCTGAAGGGATTCGATGCAGGTGGTGCTATTCGTCTCCAGTTTGATTTCCGTACCCACGACGAGGACGGCATCCTTCTCCATCACGACATGGAGGATGGTGGATCAATAGAGGTAAACAAATGAACAGACATTTAAAATATTGTTACATACAGAGGAAATTAAAGGATGCTTTGTTATGATTATGATTTCGCTAATTTTATATAAGAAATAAACTGGTGAATCCTGTGGAATTTTGTAAGATGAAGCACTGAAGAGTCCCCTTTTCAGCATTTCTTCTAATTCCAAATAGTATTGTGTTTATGGATTGCCACACAGAGATATAATATCCAAACCTAAATACTGATGATTATTCATTATAAAGGCATATCAAAGCAGGTTTGTTCTCAAGACATTTGAATGTGAAAAAGACCTTTTAGATGACCATAATAAACATGCTACAAAGTTTTTCAGCGTTGATGTTAATGATATTTTTCATGTTATGTTCTATTGTAAAATCACAATAAACTTAGGCAGAGTTACATTTCCATGGTTTCAATGAAAACATTTATTTTCTTAACTGATAATACAATTTGTAAACAGAGTAGAATGCCTAGTAATCTGAAAGTGTATGATGATCCTGTTGTACTTTGATGAGATAATTCTGGTTAATAGGTCAAGCTGGATGGTGTAGGTTATGTGACCTATAAACTAGTGACCAAGGATAATCAGATCATCGAGGATATGGTTCGTAACAGTAAGTACCTAGATACTTTTATATGAGCTTTACATGATCTATGGCAAGTCTTGTTAAGTTCTGAATATCAGGCATGTGAACATTGTCACAAAAAAATCCGATTTTTTATTGGAAAAAAATCCGGATTTGTGGTGTCTAACAAGTGTGGAAAACACACTTGATGTTACATAACCTTGAGATAATTTAATAGACTTATAAAAAATACATATGGATTTTTCAACAGATTGTCAAAAAATGTGAAATTTTATTGAGATACTTGTTAGGTGTGAAATTGTCACAGAATAATTAACAAATGTGAAAGGTTTGTTAGTAAATCCTTGAGGGATTGTCATTAAATGTAAAAATTTGTTGATGGTGAATCTGGAGGTTAACAGATAATTAGTACATAGCTGTGTGAAAGAGAATACTTCCTTAAATTTACTGAAGAGATCTTTGATTCTGTACAGTATACCTCATTCATAACATTACTTTTATTGCTTTTGATTTTAGCTGCTCTGGATGCCAAATCTCAAGGCTTTGCTGATGGATTGTGGCACTCTTTTCACCTGCATGCCAATGAACAGATGTTGAACATCACTGTTGACCGAAATGCCAAAGTCTCACGCCGCAGTCTAACTATATCTGCCGGTTCAACTTACTATCTTGGTAATTATTTTGAAGAATGATTCATACTTCAGTTTGAAAACATTTTCCAAAATTTAAAAGTTGAACTTTCAATTTCTATCGAATTGTATTGTTAAAGAAAAGAAAGAGTTTTTCCAAACTGTTGATATAAATTTCCTGATTTTGTAACTTGTATCTCATGGTTAGGTGGATACACTCTGGGGATAAGTTTCCGTGGATGTATGCGATCTATTGAAATTGATGTGACACCAGTTGATTTGAACAGCATATCCTCATCGGACACAAAGGACGTGGAAGTTGGAACATGTGGACTGGTTGACAGGTCAGCATTATCATATAGATGGAAGATTTCCTTAATGAAAGTTAGAAACTAATTTTCCAATGTAAAGCTCAATAGGAACAGACTTGTTTGCAGTATATGTAGATCTTATGTTTAACTAGGTAGATCCTATGTTTAACTAGGTAGATCCTATGTTTAACTAGATAGATCCTGTGTATAACTATGTAGATCCTTTGTTTAACTAGGTAGATCCTATGTATGCCTATGTAGATCCTATGTATAACTAGGTAGATCCTGTGTATAACTATATAGATACTATGTATAACTATGTAGATCCTATGACTAACTATGTGGATCCTATGACTAATTATATAGATCTTATTGTCTAATCAGGCTATAATTGTTTTAAGGATACTTCACAAAGAGAAGTTTGATTGTCCTGATCATGGTTAACTTTAACACAATTTTGTGTTTATACAAACAGATGCACTCCGAACCCTTGTGAACATGATGGTGTATGTACTCAAGACTGGAGCAATTTTAACTGTGACTGCCAGGAATCTGGATACACTGGTGAAGTGTGCCACATCTGTAAGTACAAGATACCAGCTTTATCAGAGAGTTAGCTGAATGATACATTCTCTAAAACAGCATATTAATGTTTAATTCTCTTGAATCTATTGACTGATTTGAATTATTTCATTCTTTACAGTATGCTGATATAGATACTTTGACACATTAATGGCAATGACATTTAACTGACTTTTAATACTACAGGGACAGGATTAAAACCATGCATAATGAACCTGGGCACCTGGTATATTATTGTGATAACATTGTGGTATATGAACATTGTGGTGATATTTTTTCTGTTTAACAGCATCCTACTATCTTTCCTGTGAGATGTACAAGATGTACACTAAAAATGATGGATTGGAGCCAGCTATCATTGACCCTGATGGATCGGGACCTCTCAAACCATTTAAGGTCCAGTGCAATGGCAAAAGTAAGTAACATTTCCATTGCAATGGTAAAAGTAACATGTCTTCTCAAAAAGTCTATATGGAAGGGTGTTAGCAAGTATGTTTAGAGGAGATGTAATTGGCTGCTTTAAGGATTACATGGCATTGAATGCATCGTGGCATTACTAAAGAAACTATTTAAATATTTGCAGAAGTGTCTTTAGTTATGTAAAAAGCTGAATTATACTTGTGTTTGCATTTTATACATATATGAAATTTGTTGCAGGTGGTTTTTTTACCTCACCAGATACTATAAAATGAAAAATTCTAAGACTTAATTCATTTATCCCATAGAAATTAAAAATCATATAAGATTCTCTATATGATAGAGTCTGGTGTTGAAGACTGACTGTATGTAGATGAATAGCCAGATTTCGGAGTAAATAATTCAGATTTCTGTTTGTTCAAATAATGACCTTGGCCCACTTTCAAGGTCACAGTCAGATAAAAATATACAAAGAAATACTCACATATTGATATATAAATGAATCCTTTCAAGGTCACAAAATATACAAACGATATCCATGAGTGCTGATATTGGGCCTGTAAGATGCTTGGAGGAGAGGCTACCAAGTTTGTTCAAATGAATGACCTCAACCCACTTTCTAGGTTTGGCTTGCTTTTTGTCAGATGACCGTTAAGGCCCATGGGCCTCTTGTATACACATATGAAATTTGTTGCAGGTGGTTTTTTTACCTCACCAGATACTATAAAATGAAAAATTCTAAGACTTAATTCATTTATCCCATAGAAATTATATCTAAGATTCTCTATATGATAGAGTCTGGTGTTGAAGACTGACTGTATGTAGATGAATAGCCAGATTTCGGAGTAAATAATTCAGATTTCTGAGTTACTAAGTCAGATAACTGAAATACTCACAGATATATAAGATCCTCAGACAGATATCTGAGATACTCAGACAGATATCTGAGGTACTCAGACAGATATATAAGATACTCAGACAGATATCTGAAATACTCACAGATTTCTGAGGTACTCAGATTTCTGAAATACTCAGAGAGTCAATATTCAGTTTATAATTTTTACCATGTGTAGTCAGATTTCTGAGACCCTTGCAGTATTACAATTTCAGGAGTTTTAACCATAAGTAGATTGAACATGTAAGATTCCTTTGGTTACAGATGAAGTGGGCAAACCTGTGGAAACATGGATTGGCCATGACAGTGAAGAAGATATCCGTGTGGATGGTTATCAGGCACCAAATTATTATGTCCGTAAGATTGGTTACAGCGCCTCATCCATTGATGAATTGACAGAAGTCATTGAGCGATCGGTCAGCTGCCATCAGACCATTGAATACAAGTGTAACAACTCACGTCTTCTTGCCAAACCAAGTAGGTTTACTCACTAGATTAATTTTATGGTGGAAAAATCTACCTTACATAAACTTTATGGCGGTAATTTATTATTCAATTTTTTTTCTTCCTGATATATTTATCAATAAAGAGAAGATTAGGGAGAGCAGCAGTGTTAAATTGCAGAAGAATTTAGCTTAAAACCACAATGGAAAGCTTAACATTTAGATTGTCCACTATCATCACATTTTTAGCAAACCATCATCAGATGGTGGGCTATTCAAATTGCTCTACGTGGGACTATTCAGGCCAAACAGACCATTTTGGATTTCACTCCTTAAAGCTTGTTATCACTAATTCTTAGAAATTACTGCTGACATTTTTTCAGATTCCATCATTAGGTTCCCCTTGATACTTCATTGTGTCTGTTTGATTTTGGCACTGATCAGAGAAAACAATGGTTGTGCACGACTCTCTTGGATTGTTATCGCTATTTCTGCAAAGAAATGTTCAAATCATTAAGAGCAAATATAGAGAAGAGATGAGAAAAGAATGGAAGAGATCTAACATTCAAAGAGCAAACAATGTTGGCGACCAAGATCCCTCTGTAATCTATTGTCAGGATTATGAAGTTGTCACCTATGTCTTCTGTCCATCAACATGATATTATTATTATTCCCATGCCAGTGAAACCAGAGGGGATTATAGTGTTTGTCTCCCTTTATCTGTCCGTTCATCGGTCTGTCCATCTGTTGGTTTCCAGACGATAACATGAGAAAAGATGGATGGGTTTAAATGAAAATTCATATATCGATAGGTTATGAGGTAATACAGAGTGGGGTTAAGATTTGGGTCTAAAGGTCAACTAAAAAAGTCACTGTTACTAAAATTAGACTTTTATCATCATATTTTGACTTCTAGATGATAATTTGTGATAGGGTTGACTGAATGTATTGAAACTTGTTGCAATGTAATATTATTAGAAAATACATAGGATGGGATTGAGTTAGTGGTCAAAAGGTCAACTGTAAAGGCTGTGAAGGTCACTTACCGAAATAGATATTTATCATCATATTTAGGGCCCCGCATCAAAAATGCAGGAAGCAAAGTTTGTCAGAATAACGCTACTGACCAATGTTCATGGTAACTGTGTCTAAAGGTCAATGTCAAATTTTACACTTTTTCATGTGTATTCTGTCAATGTTTTTAGAATGGTTAAATTTACCCTTAATGGTCAGACACAAAGCCATGTCCTTTCTGACATGTTAGTGTTTTAGTTTGTTTTCCAGATAATAACTTGATTAAAACTTCTTACAGTATCAAGTAAAAGGGAGTGCACATAAAGATTCTTTCCCTGTTATTTTCTGGTTTTTGTGTCCTTCCTGTCAAGACTCTGGTTTTTGGAGGGAAGACTTTCATTAGTTAAAATGAGACATTTGCTAATTGCTATGAAGGTCTATGTTGCAGGAGCAAGTGATGCATGCAACACTAACTGTGAGCTTGTTTCTGAGGAACTGCAGGGCAGAATTTTCCCACATTTTGAAGGAATGATATTGATGTAAACAATATATTTTATTGTTCCAAACTTTTATTTTCACAGATGATTCCCCAGATTTGCACTACGCTTGGTGGGTAGGAAGGACATTCCAACCCATGTATTACTGGGGAGGAGCAGCTCCAGGGTCAGACAAATGCTACTGTGGATTGACTGAGAAGGGCTGCACTGGTGGGCTGGCCACATGTAACTGTGACTCTGGTCTGTCCACCTCTGATAGTGGTCAGTTAGTCCACAAAGAGTACCTACCAGTGATGGAACTTCACTTTGGTGACACAGGAACGACCACTGACAGTAGACTAGGGTTTCATAAGGTTGGACCCCTCATCTGTCAGGGAGACAGTAAGTATAAAGTAACAATAGACTTGGGCTCAGAACCTGATACTTAGCTAGGATTTCACAGTGCTGGATCCTTCATCTGTCTAAAAGACAGTATGTATAAAGTAGTAATAGACACTGACCTGATTCTACAGCAAAAATGTTTCTGTTGTCTTGGGAAATATATTTTTGGATCAACATTTTTTTTGCCCATGCATGAAGTCTTATCCAGTTTGGTAAAGGATGCACATACATGAACACAGATATTTCACTACTGTAAATCCTCAGATAGCCAGCATTGAAGCTTGTAAGGATTCTTACATTGATAAGTTTCCAGCATGTAAACAAATATGTAGTGTGGCTTGATTTGTATCTACTGTATTTATCCTTCTGTCACGTCTGTAATGTCAGGAGGCCATCACATTACCTCTGACTCAGAACCCCAGAGAGCTAATATATTACTTCTAACTTAAAGGCTGGAATGGGCTTATTATAGGACCCAAGGGGGTTAGTACATTTCTCCTGACTCAAATACATGGGTGAGCTTATTTTAGGAGCCAAGGGGGTTGGTACATTTCTCCTGACTCAAATACATGGGTGGGCTTATTTTAGGAGCCAAGGGGGTTGGTACATTTCCCCTGACTCAAATACAAGGGTGGGCTTATTATAGGACCCAAGGGGGTTAGTACGTTTCCCCTGACTCAAATACATGGGTGGGCTTATTATAGGACCCAAGGGGGTTAGTACATTTCCCCTGACTCAAATACAAGGGTGGGCTTATTTTAGGACCCAAGAATGTTGGTACATTTCCCCTGACTCAAATACAAGTGTGGGCTTATTATAGGACCCAAAGGGGTTAGTACATTTCCTCTGACTCAAAGTCAGAGGGTGGGCTAATTACAGGACCCCCTGGGGCTTGCACATATACTCTGACTCAAAAGTTTTCAATATTTCAAGGCGACATAAATATAGAATTGTTTGTTATGTTTTCATCTGTAATTAAGCAGTTATGTCTCTGATATGTAATGTGGCCATGCTTTATTCCAGATCTCCTTGACAATGTGATTACATTCCGCAAGGCAGATGCTACCATCAAACTGGCTACATTCGAGGCAGAACCATCGGGAGATATCTGGTTCCAGTTCAAGACGACAGCCATGGATGGCGTTATCATCCACAACATTGGAAACTCCTTGGATGGAAGTGCTGACTTCATCCAAGTCAGATTATTTAGTATGTATAGCAAAAATTCATTATTATGTCTGAATGTCTTCTCTAGTATGGTATTAAGTCCATTTTGATTCCAAATTGTGTCCATTTGACATTTGTACTAAAACTGAAGTTATGATATCCCTCTACGCGATATGTGCCATATTTAGTGGTAAAAACAAGAGGGAATGCTTATTTTGTTGTTACTGTAGAGGAAGACCTTATGTTATAGACTGAATATGATTGATACAAACTGGCGTATTTTCCAAATTCATCTGTCATATTGCTTGACTTGAATTTCAGACGGTGATACAATTGGGTTCAGCTACAACAATGGTAATGGTATTAAGGTGCTGGAGTACAAGTCGACCAACGCCCTCAACAACAATTTCTGGCACACAGTCCATGTAGAGAGAAATAGGAAGCAAGCTTGGCTTCGTGTAGATAACTTCCCTGAGAAATACCTTAACGAAGGTCAAGATGAGGTCACACGTGCCCTTGACCTAATGGGATATCTTGTTGTTGGTAAGGCTAAAGCAAGTGCTTTAATGTTGATAGTTTTTCCATTCACCTGGTAACAATTCCAACAGCTTTTATGCCCCTTCCATTTGATTGAGGGAGTGTGGGGTGTACATATTGTTACCATGTCTGTCTGTCCACCTATCCCATTGCGTTGTGTCCCATTCACAATCAATGTTATATCTGGAGAACCTTATTTAGTTCACATTCACTCCATAGTATCTTTACATCAAGTTTGTCAACTAAGGGTCAAAGGTCACAGACAATACAAATTTTGCAGATTCTTCAATGATAGATGCATGGGAGCAGTAGCATTGGGGTCTTAAAGTTTCTTGTTTTAGTTGTGAGATTTGCACTGAATGATGAAGAATGAAATGTGATTTATGTGCTTTTCAAAAATTTTTGTGACCTTCTGTCTAAAGTTGCTTTCACTGAAATTTTAACAGGTGCTACAGTGGAGGACAAAAATGGCTTTGTTGGCTGCATAAGAGGTCTGAGAGTGAATGGTGTGCTGCAGGACCTCCGTGGGCTGGTGGAGCGTGGCGACTTCTACTATGGCGTGTCTGTCAACTGTAACGGAAAGTGTAACAGTAATCCATGCATGAATGGAGGCACATGTATAGAGGGATATTCTGGCTACACCTGCGACTGTGCATACACACCATGGAGAGGATGGATGTGTGGTAGAGGTATGTAACACTTAAAGTTTGAAAATGCCCCAAAATGTCAAAAAATTGTTAAAAAATTGCTTAGTATATTCACAGTGAAAAATATATAAGAAATCCAATATAAGCCAGGAATGGCGGGTAGTCAATGATGAAACTATTTGTGTTGTTACACACCGTCACATATCACCATTGGGTATTAATATAACACACTACCTTATTAAAAATAATGTGTATTTGGTATGTAATTATCACATACTTGACAATGTACAACTATAGGCTTTATTGTACCTTTCAGAGGTTGGAGTAAATCTTCAGACCAACTACCAGATAAAATATACATTTGACAAAAGCCAGGGATTGTCTGCCACAGACTTCATGAAAATTCGTGTTGGTTTTACCACTAAGAAAAAGCAAGGCATTCTTCTTCAGCTCCGGGATGCTGAGAACACAGAGTATGTGTCACTGGAGATCAACAACAGTGGTAAGTAAACACTATAGTTAGCGTTAAAGAGGATGAAATTCTAAGCACACTTTACATTTCTCTGTCCTAATTCAAAATTGTCAGGCATTGAACTTGAATTTTCTTTTGTGCCAATTTTAAAGTGTACCATGTCTCTTGTAGTACTGAAAGAAAAAAATTGTTGAAGAAAAAATGTCTGAAAAGAATTTTTTATAAAATAATATCACAAATTTATAAATTCCTTTACTTTTTCTTGGAACTGAGAGATTTTGCAAGTTTAAATTACCTTGTTACATTTCCTTCTCAACTTATGAATAAATTTTAATTACAACAATAACTTCTTGTGGTCTTTGGTATTCTTTACTTGTGGTTAATATTTTGAGTATTTGATATCAGACACCATCTTATCGTGGATTTAATTTCACATGTTTCTATCACTCAGGTGGAATAAAATTTGTTGTTGATGTTGGTTCTGAACGATGGGAGTTGAACACCCCTAATCATGGAATAGACTATACTAATGGACAGCAACATGAGGCCAAGATGAAGAGAGAAGGTCCAGGTGGCAGGAATGTCCACTTACAGGTAAGGTATACAGGTTGATATAGATTTGCTCCCTTGATGGAAAACTTCTGTATCAGGTTTCCTTAAACGTACCTTGGTATATGCTACAGTTAATTAATACTGTTTGTTTGGTTTCATTTGGTCCTTTATTTTACCAAAAGCTTGAAGGGAAAGATTATTTATCTTGGAAGTCATGGAAATTTTTTTTTAAAATTGATTCCATTTTTAAAGCATCCAGCTATCACAGTGACATGCAACCCTCAAAAATAGTGATCAGTACTCCAGAGTTCTTGATAGGGTGCATATCTACGTAAAACAACACATTTGAAATAGACTAGGAGGGTACTTTACAGTGTCAGGTATGTAATAAGATGTCAAGAAGTTACAAGGTTCTTGGGTAATGTTGAATTGAGACATAGTAAGGCTCAATCAATTGTGGAAGTACTTGAATAACAGAACATTGACGTAACTAAAATGGTGCCACTCACCGCTGACTGAGCATCATGGTAAGAAGACGGGCGTAGGAGTTCAATTAAAGTCAAAGTATTCACCATTTGTGGAACAGATTCATTGCATACATTTGAGCAGTATCAGATGCTATCAAGAAACTTCCCTTGATCAGAGATGTGATACATGTCCCATTACTTTCCCTTGATCAGAGATGTGATACATGTCCCATTACTTTCCCTTGATCAGAGATGGGATACATGTCCCATTACTTTCCCTTGATCAGAGATGGGATACCTGTCCCATTACTTTCCCTTGATCAGAGATGGGATACATGTCCCATTACTTTGCCTTGATCAGAGATGGGATACATGTCCCATTACTTTCCCTTGATCAGAGATGGGATACATGTCCCATTACTTTCCCTTGATCAGAGATGGGATACATGTCCCATTACTTTCCCTTGATCAGAGATGGGATACATGTCCCATTACTTTCCCTTGATCAGAGATGGGATACATGTCCCATTTCTTTCCCTTGATCAGAGATGGGATATGTGTCCCATTACTTTCCCTTGATCAGAGATGGGATATGTGTCCCATTACTTTCCCTTGATCAGAGATGGGATATGTGTCCCATTACTTTGCCTTGATCAGAGATGTGATACATGTCCCATTACTTTCCCTTGATCAGAGATGGGATACATGTCCCATTTCTTTCCCTTGATCAGAGATGAGATACGTGCCCCATTACTTTCCCTTGATCAGAGATGGGATACATGTCCCATTACTTTCCCTTGATCAGAGATGGGATACGTGTCCCATTACTTTCCCTTGATCAGAGATGGGATACATGTCCCATTACTTTCCCTTGATCAGAGATGGGATACATGTCCCATTACTTTCCCTTGATCAGAGATGGGATACATGTCCCTTTACTTTCCCTTGATCAGAGATGGGATATGTGTCCCATTACTTTCCCATGATCAGAGATGTGATACGTGTCCCGTTACTTTGCCTTGACCAGAGATGTGATACATGTCCCATTACTTTCCCTTGATCAGAGATGGGATACATGTCCCGTTACTTTTCCTTGATCAGAGATGAGATATGTGTCCCATTACTTTCCCTTGATCAGAGATGAGATACGTGTCCTATTACTTTCCCTTGATCAGAGATGAGATACATGTCCCATAACCTTCCATAATCAATGATGTGATATATGATAGATTGAACCATTGCTTTCCTGACAAACTTTAAATATTTTGGCAAAGTGGTCTACTGATGGTCATTAGGTGATACTTTCAATGATATAGTTCAACATGTATGCTACATAATATGTTGATTTCCTCCTCCAGACAATTCTGGAAGCAGTGGATTTTGTCTGTTTTTACTATGATCACGTGACTGTATTATAACATTTATACCTGTCATTATTTTCTTTCCAAGGTGGACAACTATCCTGAGGCAATTGACACTCTGGGTGCTTCTCTCAGTGACAGCATCCTCAACAACCCCAAATATCTATTTGTTGGAAGTAATGGTAAGCATGTTCTGTCTAGTACTCCAGTACAGCATGTACTGTCTGTAGAGTGGAAAAGTGCTGGATGTTGTAGCTCTACCCAGATCAATTCTTTGTTTTTGTTCTACACCAATAAGGATTACTGTCTGGGGGATGGTTATGCAAGGGTTCCATAACATTAATTTTAATGAACCAAATGGCCAAAATCTTAAATAAAAATATTTTAGACTGTGAAGAAAATTGAAAAAAAGGAAGATTTTAACAAGAAATGTTAATTAACTAATAGCCTAAAGAGTTAGTTCCAAATTTTTCCAATCTTTACAAAAAAAAAATTTTTTTATCGTTTTTAGACACCAAAAACAGTGCTAAGGGATTTGAAGGCTGTATCTACCGGATGCAGGTTGACAACATTTACCCACTGAAACGTGCCTTCCAGGATCCTAGGCCATCTTTTGTACAGCTGAACCCAACAGGTGATAGAATTAATAGAATTAGGTCGAGATCACAATTTATATTACCATGAATTTGTTTATTGTTTTTTAAGTGTTAATTTGTGAGCCAGTTGGAAGTCACTGTAACAGATTAGATAAAAATGATGATTATCATTTCCAAGAGCATTACATTTTGTCATCTCCTTTCTGATTTAAGCTCTAGACTACTCTTTCTAAAATCTGGTTGTTAATAAGGGCTTTCATAGCAAAATAGGAGCACTTAGAATATACCTGTCTTCACAAAGTGTGTTCATGAAAGGTACCCATACTTGAGTTGATTTTGTTTTATTCATACAACTGAAAATTACAGGAATTTCTCTGATTAACTTGTTAACTAAATTTAGAGCAATCAACGTACCAGTAATTTGTCATTTGTTCTTATTGAAAGGACCATTGCATGTTCTTTTAAAGACCAAGATGTCTTCATCCATTTTATTAGGGAAAGTACGAGAGGACATGTGTGGATTTGAAGAGATCACAAAGCCCCCAGATCCGATTGAGACGAGACCTGTTGCTGGAGGTCCATATACAAACATCACTTTCCCCTATAGCGATGACGGCCTCACCGCTACAGAAAGGGGCATCATTGGAGGTAAGTATCAAGGTCAGAATATTTAAATTGAATAACATAACGTTCATAAGAAATAAAAAAAATAAAAGAAACTGTAAGAGAGATTTCTAAATCTGTGACTCGTCATTCTGTCATTGTAGGTGTTGTTGCTCTGATCTTCCTCATCATCATCATCCTGGCCATCATTGGTTTCATCTACTTCCGTGAAAAGGGTGATTACAGCACAAAAGAAGCCAAAGGTCAAGATCTTGCTGATAACCCCGACACTGCTGTTGTCTACAATCAGACAGGAGTGCCAGACATCGCCAAGCGGCGAGAATGGTTTATATAAATACTTACAGCAACAAAATCTTTAAATCTTCAAGTACTTCATGTCCATAGGCATACAGAGGTCATATCAGTGTGTTACATATCAACAGTTAGGCAAGCAATAAAACATATCAACAGTTAGGTAAGATGTGATACATATCAACAGTTAGGTAAGATGTAATACATATCAACAGTTAGGTAAGATGTGATACATATCAACAGTTAGGTAAGATGTGATACATATCAATAGTTAGGCAAGCTATAAAACATATCAACAGTTAGGCAATATGTGATACATATCAACAGTTAGGTAAGATGTGATACATATCAACAGTTAGGTAAGATGTGATACATATCAACAGTTAGGTAAGATGTGATACATATCAATAGTTAGGCAAGCAATAAAACATATCAACAGTTAGGCAAGATATGGTACTGTATCAAAAGTTAGGCAAGCAATAAAACATATCAACAGTTAGGCAAGATATGGTACTGTATCAAAAGTTAGGCAAAATGTGGTACATACAGTTAAGCAGTATATCATGTAGCAGGTAGGATTGTCATCAGATGGTTTACATTACTGTTGTGTGACAGTAAGCACTCTTACTGTTATACTGATTGATATAACATAGATATACAAAACTTACTGGAACAAAACAATGGCTTGTGTGCCAGGCATTTATATGGCAAAGCATTCCATAAACAATTTTAAAAATGTCATGTTGAACAATGTAAACTATTCCACTACATTCCCTACTGATAAAAGAAATCTCAATTCATACATTCCATTTTTCTTCATGTTTTACCGTCACACATTTGTGGTTTTTATGTAAATTATAAACCTTTGTCAGTTATCCATTTCAGTCATGAAAGGATGTGCTTAGCTTATATGAAACATATTGCCATTTTTTACTTGTGATACACATATATATCAGAGATGTCATATTAAGATCATCTGAATAATTTGTAATAACAGGAGGAATATTGTAAGATAAATTGTATATTGTTAGATATTGATTTGTATATTTTGTATATAAACGTTTTGTATAAAAAAAACCCACACACATTGTAAAAACATCCATGTCAGTGATTGCTCTTTTTTTTCCATTTCATTAATCATCGTGTATATCTTCTTTTTTTCATCCCTTAAAGGAATGGATTACAGACCATTGTTAGATTTTACTTTAAATTGAGTACATGTTTTACAGGGATTGCATGAAATGCTGGGAAGTTGTATAGTTAAGAAATGATAGTTGATTTATTGGAAGTAGAGGAAGAAATAAAATAGTTCCAAGTCACTTTTTACCTATTTGTATTAGAAATTCTAACGTTGGCAATCTTTTTGATGTATTTGAAATTTTAATTCAGAAATAATTTCTTTTTGCAGAAAGCCTTGATTGTCTCTCGAATTGTTTTTTCAATATTTTCAAATTGACAGAATTGAATATCATTTCCTCTGTCCTCTTGTTTATATAATACTAAGGTGTATCTTTATATATTTTTGTTAATTGGCCTTAATTAATTTCTGTAATGTTAAGCTATTGGGATGCTGACTTGTTGTGTTGGAGAGATGAGGTTGTGATTTTCTGAAAGAATTGTGTTAGTATAAAGAAGACTCTCAACCGTCCATTCAACATAAAATGAGAATGTGCAACTATCAGTTTGTCTCCCTTCATATTAAATGGAACAACCAGTTTTTCCACTTTTGATTTTTAGCTTAAGGTTGGTACCCCTGTAAATATTAATTCATATCTTTGAAAGAGCTCTAGATATTTCCTCCTATTTATTTATATATTAATATTGGCCCGAGCAGTCAAATTATTCGGAACTCAAGTTTATTTTCCAACAAAATTTACACATGGCAAAATTTGTGGACTGTTGGTCCCTGTATATGGAAATTATTGCTTTCATGCAACCAATAAAACATTCCTAGTACTTACTGTATATTATTGTCAGATAAATGTAATCACAGAATTTTTTAAGTCAATTAGCATGATCTTTAGTCAGGAAAAAAGAGCACCGCATGAAAGGAACAGGATGTGTGTTGTATGTATGTGTGAAAGTGCAGTAGGCATTATTTTTATACATGATTTATATTTGATACAAATGTATAGGCTTTAAAGCAATGAATAAAATAAATCAGATGTACTAACATTTAGGTCTCTGGATTGTTTGTTGTCACATGTATCAGTAATCTAAAACTCGGAAATACTCTCTGAATATGGCACATTACTGGTATACAGAATGTCTTTTGATTTATAGTATAACTGTTTAAGAAGTTTGCATAGAAATTATTTTGCTTTACTGGTCACCTTGAAATTAAGTAAGGCTGAAGTTTAAACACTAGTTACAAGAATGCAGCAAAGTGCTTCTTCATGTAAAGAAATTGCAAACAATTGTGGCTGTAAAAATACCCAATCTATCGTCAGCTATGCTAATTTTCTGATCAACAGTTTGGGTGGGAATTAATGCATTTAGATTTTAATTTATTAAAGATAAAGGATTTTTTAAACAAGAATATAATGTTGAGCCAGTCTAGCTGACTTGATCTCCATCTAAAGTTTTGTGAAGTAACCAAGATTATGGTCCCCTAGCCAGCGAACTACTTAAAATGGCTCAGACTGTTTATACATTTTGAATACCTTCAAAGTAATTAAAGGTAAATTCAATACAAACACACTTTATGGTTTGTCATCTGTATATACACTACAGGCAAAATTTGATACCTGTGACCTTGAACAGTTTTTAAGAAGGTCAAGGACAAATTTGATAACCTTTGATCTTAGTATGACACTGACCAAATATCCTTAACCTGGGGTTTTGATTGCTTGGTTTATTAGAAGTTATTCGAAATAACCCAAATAATTTATCTTCATCTGATGTTCACAGGTAAAAAAAATCATGCTATCTGTATTGTGTACAATACACTGATAACTTTTTGTGAACATTATCTGCTGATTTCTTTGTGTTTTCAATGTTGGAGAGCTTAAATGTTATTTGCCCTGATAACATAAATGTATGTCGAAGTGATTTGAACAAAGTTAATGCATCTTCTTTTTTTCAAATCGCCCTATGTCCATGATTCATTTTCTGTCTGTAACAATTCTTGTTATCACTATTTCTCCAAAAGTCCTGGATGGATCTTCTGTAACTTCATTTGAGGATTTTCCTTGGTCCCTAAGTTATGACCATTCAGTTTTGTGACTGACCAGAAAAACAATGACAGAGAGATGGCTATCTTAGATTTTGACAACCAAAGTTTGTTATCACCATTTCTTGAGAGATACTGGATGGATCTATCTTAAATTTAATTTGTAGGTTTCCCTTTGTCCCTAGCTGTGCCTGTTCATTTTTTGGTCTGATAAGAAAAGCAGTGGCTGACAGCCAGCCATCTTGGATTTGACAATCAAAGATATTATACTATTTCATGGGCAGCACTAGATGGATCATTCTCAGATTCTGTTTGTAGGTTGCACTTGGTCCCTAGTTGTGATTGTTTGATTTTGGAACTGATCACAAAAAAACATGATGACTGACAGTCTGCAACATTTGTATCTTTGATTTTGCCAATGAAAATCGTTGTTGATATTTATTGAGTGGTACTGGTTGGATCACTCGCAAATTTCATATGTAGGTTCCCCTTGGTCCCTAGTTGTGCCATTTTGATTTTTTGATCGATTTGAAGAACAAAAATGCCCGACCGGTGACTATCTTTGACACTTAAATATTATTAATGCTAGTCCTTAAGAGTTTTTTAAATTTCATTTACTGTATTAAAGAGCAGATACAGAGGAAAAAGTAAATCTCTTTTGAATAATTATTACTACTCATTATACCAGACACATTTCAAGGTTCACATACTGAATTTGTTGGATCTGCTGAATTCCACAGAAGTTGCTCAAGAAGACCTTGACAGCAACATCATGTAGCAACATGGACACTGTGGGAGCCTTAGTAATTTTTTGATAAAGTTGAAAATTTAGACCACTTTGTTAGCTTCCTTTCCCCAACATCTACACAAATTTTCAGTTCAATAGGGCTGAAAACTGGTATCAAGAGGCCCACAGGCTTTAACAGTCATCCAACTACAAAAACTTTCAGCAGGGAAAAGGGTTATATTTTCTACTTTAATGAAATCTTACAAAGCCGTTTTCCATGAGGCAGATGGCAGTTTTGGTGAAGAGTAACTGCAACAAGAATTACCTTTCTCTTGACAGTAAAGTTAAAGCTTAATCCAACTGTTGAAAGTTGAAGTTTGAAATAGGTGTTGCACAGGAAAACCATGACTGCAGAATCATGTTGCAAAATGGCCTACCTTGTTGCTAGTTTAAAGTTTTGACAAGGTCGAAAAATAACAACACTGTTGGCTACCTTTATTTAACACTTCCACCAATTTCTTGCTCAGTGGCACAATTGGAACTGGAGAGAAAGTTTAAAATATGTTTTTCAAGATGGCAGCCATCTTGGATTTCAGATCGATCTGAACATTAACAACAGTTGGTCAGGACCATCTAAGGATCATTTAACACAAGTTTGAGTTCAATACCAGTGTTGGAACTTGAGAAGATGTTAAAAATGTCAAAAGTTTACGCATGGGAGATGACGACGGACAAAGCATAATGGCTATAGGTCATCATGACCCGAAATGTATTTTTCATGGTAGTAGCCATCTTTGAACCAGCATGGAAAATAAGAAAACTTACTCAGGCCCATCCCATGATCATTCCTGGTAAGTTTCAACTGAAACCCACCAATAGAACTACAGAAGATAAATACCTGTATGTGAAGCGACTACATACAAAACTAGAGAGTTATTTCACCTACATTTGTAAGTTGACATTCTTTATCCTATACAAGAGACTAATAGAAGATTCAATCTGAACCGATTTGTAAACTTCATGGCTACTCGTTTAGAAAAAACAACAAAAAACATCTTGGTAATCTTAATATATACTTTATATAAAATAATATGATATTTTTCTAGATACTTCATTTCACAAAACAGGTAAGAGGTAATATTGGGGAAACAAAAAATTAATTGCACAGTGAAGTCTTCATGCCCTCATCACTGCTAAGACGGAGATTCAATGCTGGTATACTATACTTCAATATGAAGGTTGGAAGGGCGTTCAGTCTTTCGCCCTAAAATTCATTGAATGCTAAATACAATTATATTCATGCATAGAACATACTTACACTGGCGTTTTTGTAAGATTATATTTTAAACTGTTGATGTCAGAAACTTTAAAAAAGACGTTTTCTAATTTTTCTACAGGTAAAGTAGGTAAAACTTGACATCACTGAGTCCTTTTTTTTTCAAGCCATAGAGCTAGTTTTTCACCGCCTTTAATTAAGGGAAATAACACTCGGCGGCGAAGTGTCTTTATCAATCCTACATCAAATTTAAGGGTTCATCATTGTACATAACTGCCCCATTGCCTCATATGAGAAAATATTGCATTTTACATAAAATTATATATATTATATGTTATAATAGCACGTGCAAAATCAACTATAAAAATGTAAGTAATCTGTTATTACAAAAAATATAATAATTAAAAATTGAGAACCTAAAATTCACTGGATACCATTAAACCCAATAATTTGCTGAAGTTTGAACTTACTTAGAATAAAAAACATGAAAGATATGTCACAACAACAAAATTGTGTTATATCCCTCTCAATATAGAAATATTAATTGTGAACACTTTTGTGGGGTTTTACTGCCGGTACCATGTAAATTGAAAATATCTATATCTTATGATATCTTGAGACTTTTTCTTCCAAGTTTAGAAATTACAAGATCATTTCTGATCAAAAGGAGAATGAAAGTATCATCTGAATGATGGTTTCCTTCTAATGCGATAACAGTAATGAAATTCCTTACATAATTATGAACGTAAAAATGTAACACAAAAAGTTTATAAACGATCGCTAACAAAATGCATTTCTGTTGAAATGGAAAAACTGTAAGTAACACTATGTGATTATCTGTTAGTGATAGAGCGGTGGTTGATTAATAAAGACATGATTCACGTATATAAAAATGATACCAGATTTCCCATACACCAACACTTGTATGATTCCAGCCTAATGAAGGCAGATTTTATTTATTACAATACTGATCATGGCTTAATTTCTTCAGAGTGAATTGAATATTTGAAACAAGCTTGGAATCAACAAAGTTCCAAAAGATTACTATTTCTTCATCATCATTCATTACTTAGATGATTTTTCCATTTATTTTTCTGCAATGTCAAACAGAGCTAAATTAAGATGGCAAATCTTTCATTTATTAATTAATGTCAAATAGAAACTACATGTAAAAAGAAACATATTTTTAAGAGTATGATGACAACCACCTGTTGTAGAAATAGTTCTATTGAACTAAAGTTCAATTATTGTACCTGTAACACACGATACAAAATTGAGAAAGAAAAAGAATGTCTAGTACCCCTAATTATTTGACAAAACAAACACATATACATATCCCTTACATTGTTGTCTTTAGCACTATATTGTAGTATTTACCGGGTAAACCTTTTAACTAAAACATTAATGACAAAAACAGCCGGTTGAAAATTTTTTACGCAAAACAACTGCTGATTGGTCAACTTTGTTTCCCATAATTCACTGAGAATGTTAACAGCAGCTGATTGGCTGAGTATATCTAACTCATGGTGTGAGTCTCTTGGGGTCACGTGGGAACATGGACGTTTTCCTGATATTGTCTAGGCCGAGGTACAGCATACAAACTCTCTCCATACCTGAGGAAAAGAAACAAGCAACTAAAATCACCCATGATTTGGTTGAATTATGATTATTGAAATTTCTTTTCCATGTGTTTTATTTTTTGTCTTAGATAGTTAAGCATGCATATTCAGTTTTCTATCACAATAATTTAAACTTGAACTACATGGAGAATCTATATTAAATTAAAGTGAATGTTTTTTCTAAAAGAATCAATTTTCATCTGTAATCAATTGAAGTACAAAGTAATTTGGAAGAAAATTATGATGTTGATGATGAATAAGCTAATTAACAATGTGTAGGACTGAATTTGAACATACTTTGAATCCTTCCTGTGTAGAACAATTGGGAATATGACAATTAACATTTTAAGAGAACCTTATCCTTAAATGGAAACAGAGCTCAACCAAACATTGAGATGTCTTCTGTAACCAATATATGAAGTAATTTGTGATCCCTAATTAACTTACCTATACCACCACCAGCGTGAGGTGGTGCTCCGTATTTGAAGGAATCAATGTAGGCCTTTATTTTCTCTAAATCTGAGGAAGAGAAGATTCATGTCAAGCAAATTATGTTATGCCAGTGGGAAGTCATTGTTTAACTAGAAATATTTACTGTATTTTAGTCTTCCCCTACACTTGCCAAGAGAGTGACCATTAATCTAATTCTACACAAAAGGAAAAGAAAAAAATAAGCAAAGTTGATTAATATATCCTATAGTCACTTATTAGAATTTCTACTTCACTGACAAAGAAACTGTTACTTTCTAAACTTATGATATCTGGCCAGTTAACAGACAAACTGCTAATTGGATATTCAAACTTTACAATCAACGACTCATTATAGCGCTTCAGGGAGTTTGAGGCCACATCATGACATATCTCTGGAAAGCTTTGTGGAGCTTGTAACTAGATGACAAACTTAAATTATGGTATCAATAAATATTTCAACTGAAACCCAGCTTTAATAAATATTTTCAAGGCTTCTAACAAAGTTTTTGTATGCCTGCGATGTCACTGGATTTATGATAGTGAGCTCCATTGGGATTAGGACTAGTTTTTCATGATTCCTCTAACAAGAACGCATCATTCCTATATGCAAAATGGTAAAGATCTCCATGGGGCATGCTATCAGGAGAATGATAGCTTTATCACTATCACTGCAGCAAGTGTTACAACTAAGACTTACCTATTCCATGATGTTTGGCTCTCTCAGACAAGAAGCTGGGGTCGTGGACCCTTTGGGCACCCGACAGGATCTCCTCTCCTCGCATGAACATGTCATAAGAATTGGACCATTTCTAGTAAACAAACCGAGACAATGACGTAAAGACAATCTAAGATTGAATACATATCAGGCAAAATGTTCTCTGATAGCTGAATATGTGAACCAACTCATTACAAGATATCAGTACAATTTTTCATCCTCTTGAAGGTAAGATAATGAAATTTCACGCAGATAAAATAGCATGGACGTGCTAATCCAAACTGGGGAAAATATGAACTTAAAAAAAGATTTACATGGAGACTTTTGAAAAGGTATGAGGATAAGAAAAGACCAGGTGTTCCAGAAGAGTAAGGTCTTCTGCTTGATTGACAACACTTGCCATGTTAATCTAATGAGAACAAGGTATACAACAACAGAACCAACCATGAAACTGACAAGCACCAAACACGTCCTGCTTCATATCACACAAAGAAATACAGTTTTAGTATGTGCTGTAAACATACATATTTCAGCAGTCCTTTCAGGTGCTGTATGTTGTAAACATAGCAATTAAATTGAATTGTAAGTTCATCATTACGCTAATTTCACCCTAATTGATATGTTGTTGAAATTTGATAGTACTAAAATAAGTATGTTTACATTATTTACTTTGATATTTTCACTGTGTATCTACAAAATCTAGTAACCGTTGATGTTTGAACATCTTAATTGACTTCCTTACAGGTATCATGTATCACATCAAAACTATTCACCTATAGTGGTAACTGTACTACTGTACTGCCTTGTAAATCACACCATTATTCCAGCCCAGCAGACCTGATATATACATGTAACTACAACACTAGCTGTATTCTTTGATATCTTCTGCTAATCAGCTTTTAGTTTTTTGGTTGTTGATGATATAATCTGGTATGATGACTGTACCTTGTTGTGCGGGTCTGGCATTGTGTAAAATGGACGAACTGCCAGAGGGAACTTGTCCAAGATGTAGAAGTCGGTATCATACTGTAACAAAAAACATTAAAACCAGAGATAAACTTTCTGTAAAACAAGAAATAACAAAAAATGTTATCCCAATATCCACCTTTAAATAAACACAATATTGTGAAAGTTAATTAGTCAGCCCTCTTGCCTGTGTGGCCAGGATACATATAAAACTTTTACAAAAGCAATGTCTGGGGTATAGGAAATTTCTACTGGTAACTTCCATGCCACGACTCAAAGGTCACTATGGAAACTTAAGAATGATACAGAAATTAATAAGTCTTGAGACCAAAGATCTAGTAAGAAAATAGGATTTTATTTAGTATCTATGCTTTGCAAGTAAATATCTGTTGTATTTCCTAAGAGAATTTTGTTATGACTGAGGACATGTGTTCTACTTAACAGTATTTAGGCTGAACTACAGGCTAAAAACTACACACTTTAGTTTTATCATCAAGAGCAGAAGTCATAATTACTGTATTATTTTGGTTCTCTGCTACAACATCTGAACAGGAAGAACTTACTTTAAACCAAATTTCATTTTGGGTTGATAATTATTTTAGAGAATGGGTTATATCAATATGTGAGATAACTAAAATGTTACCTTTGCTTTAACAAGTCTTCCAAGGAATTTCTCATTGGGTGTACTTAAATCGTCCTCATCGTCCATCTCAATGCCATTGTCCCTCAGCATCTGGACTGCTTCCACGTACTCCAGGCGCAGACTAGATGTATGTAAGATTTACTTTATGTAAGTGTATTTCAAATACATACAGGTGTAAAGGAACCACTTTTATCTGTCAATTAACTATATAGATATTTCAGCAGTGTGCATCTCATTTTTGGTTTAATACTTTTAGGATTCATTTGGTTACTTGTAATAGCAAACATATTTCACCATAAAAATGTGTGAAAATTTAAAAAATAAAAATCTGTGGAATTCTATTACTGTAAACATAGAAGTTTACACTAAATGTATAGAAGTCGATCATCTGCTTAAATTTCATCTATTCAGAATGTTGTTATTGTCTGTGTCCCACAGAGGTGAAGAAAAATCTCTGACAGAATGTTCTGTCATTGTCTGTGTTCGACAGGGGTGATAAAAGATCTCTGACAGAATGTTCTGTCATTGTCTGTGACCCACAGAGGTGATAAAAGATCTCTGACAGAATATTCTGTCATTGTCTGTGTCCCACAGAGGTGATAAAAGATCTCTGACAGAATGTTCTGTCATTGTCTGTGTCCCACAGAGGTGATGATAGATCTCTTGACAGAATGTTCTGTCATTGTCTGTGTTCGACAGGGGTGATAAAAGATCTCTGACAAATGTTCTGTCATTGTCTGTGTCCCACAGAGGTGATGAAAGATCTCTGACAGAATGTTCTGTCATTGTGTCCCACAGAGGTGAAGAAAGATCCCTGACAGAATGTTCTGTCATTGTCTGTGTCCCACAGAGGTGATAAAAGATCTCTGACAGAATATTCTGTCATTGTCTGTGTCCCATAGAGGTGATAAAAGATCTCTGACAGAATGTTCTATCATTGTCTGTGTCCCACAGAGGTGATGAAAGATCCCTGACAGAATGTTCTGTCATTGTCTGTGTCCCACAGAGGTGATAAAAGATCTCTGACAGAATGTTCTGTCATTGTCTGTGTCCCACAGAGGTGATGAAAGATCCCTGACAGAATGTTCTGTCATTGTCTGTGTCCCACAGAGGTGATGAAAGATCCCTGACAGAATGTTCTGTCATGGTCTGTGTCCCACAGAGGTGATGAAAGATCACTGACAGAATGTTCTGTCATTGTCTGTGTCCCACAGAGGTGATGAAAGATCACTGACAGAATGTTCTGTCATTGTCTGTGACCCACAGAGGTGATGGAAGATCCTTGACAGAATGTTCTGTCATTGTCTGTGTCCCACAGGGGTGATGAAAGATCCCTGACAGAATGTTCTGTCATTGTCTGTGTCCCACAGAGGTGATAAAAGATCTCTGACAGAATGTTCTGTCATTGTCTGTGTCCCACAGAGGTGATAAAAGATCTCTGACAGAATGTTCTGTCATTGTCTGTGTCCCACAGGGGTGATGAAAGATCCCTGACAGAATGTTCTGTCATTGTCTGTGTCCCACAGAGGTGATAAAAGATCTCTGACAGAATGTTCTGTCATTGTCTGTGTCCCACAGGGGTGATGAAAGATCACTGACAGAATGTTCTGTCATTGTCTGTGACCCACAGAGGTGATGGAAGATCCCTGACAGAATGTTCTGTCATTGTCTGTGACCCACAGAGGTGATGGAAGATCCCTGACAGAATGTTCTGTCATTGTCTGTGTCCCACAGAGGTGATGGAAGATCCCTGACAGAATGTTCTGTCATTGTCTGTGACCCACAGAGGTGATGGAAGATCCCTGACAGAATGTTCTGTCATTGTCTGTGACCCACAGAGGTGATGGAAGATCCCTGACAGAATGTTCTGTCATTGTCTGTGACCCACAGAGGTGATGGAAGATCCCTGACAGAATGTTCTGTCATTGTCTGTGACCCACAGAGGTGATGGAAGATCCCTGACAGAATGTTCTGTCATTGTCTGTGACCCACAGAGGTGATGGAAGATCCCTGACAGAATGTTCTGTCATTGTCTGTGACCCACAGAGGTGATGGAAGATCCCTGACAGAATGTTCTGTCATTGTCTGTGTCCCACAGAGGTGATGGAAGATCCCTGACAGAATGTTCTGTCATTGTCTGTGACCCACAGAGGTGATGGAAGATCCCTGACAGAATGTTCTGTCATTGTCTGTGACCCACAGAGGTGATGTCCCTGACAGAATGTTCTGTCATTGTCTGTGTCCCACAGAGGTGATGGAAGATCCCTGACAGAATGTTCTGTCATTGTCTGTGACCCACAGAGGTGATGGAAGATCCCTGACAGAATGTTCTGTCATTGTCTGTGTCCCACAGAGGTGATGGAAGATCCCTGACAGAATGTTCTGTCATTGTCTGTGTCCCACAGAGGTGATGGAAGATCCCTGACAGAATGTTCTGTCATTGTCTGTGTCCCACAGAGGTGATGGAAGATCCCTGACAGAATGTTCTGTCATTGTCTGTGACCCACAGAGGTGATGGAAGATCCCTGACAGAATGTTCTGTCATTGTCTGTGTCCCACAGGGGTGATGAAAGATCACTGACAGAATGTTCTCTCATTGTCGGTATACCACAAAGTTTTCACTGTATTTTTTCTCTGCAATATATTCTTTATCCACTTACCTTGGTTCCAGAAATTTAAACGGCTCTGCAGGAAACTGTTTATTGATGGTTGCTATCTCTTCCTGAAAGCTAAAATAAAGATCATGTAAATTTCAAACGGCAGCATTAACAACATTATATTTTGCATTAAAACAGATTTTCTTATTAAGTAACAGATACAATATATAGGATAAGTAGGGTAGGATACAAAATCTGTCAGCCCAGCACAAATAAATATAAACATAAACAATGTTTTTGCTTCATAAACACTGACAGGTGTGCATTAACTGAAGTAAATCTAACCAAACCCCCACTCCCATCAACTTCATGAAAATTGATCACAATTCTGAGAAAAATCAACTGTTGCTTACTTGTCACGGAGACCTTTGAAGATAGAGACAAACATGTTTCCTATAACATCGATGACTTCATGGTAATGATACTTAAAGGCCATCTCCATGTCCAGTCCCACAAACTCTGTCAAGTGACGATGGGTGTTGGAATCCTCCGCTCGGAACACTTAACACAAGAAGTAAAATCTTTCAAAATCCTGATTTTGAATCTTTGTTCCATAGACTGGTATATTGAACAATAAGCCTATGTCGGGTAATAAGCCCATATATTGCTGTTTAGTACAATAATACCTTATAAACCCAACCCGTGTCACTAAAACGGGAGCAATATAATGGACCCTTTGACTTGTCCTGTAATAAGCCCATCTCATGACATTTTAAATAGAAGCAAAATGATGGACCCCTTGACATTTGTCCTGCAATAAGGCAAACCCCTATCATTGAGATTGAAGCAACATCACTGGCCCCAGGACTCGCTGTCCTGTAATAAGCCCAACCCCTAACACTAAGATTGATGCAATATAAAGGGCCCGAGGATTTACTGTCCTGTAATAAATCTACCCCGGACATTGAGACAGAAACAATATGATGAACTCCTGGGCTTATTGTAGGATAAACGCCATCTCTTAAATCTTTCTTTTCTTTGCTGGCACTGACGGTTGTGTATAAGGTTTCAAATGTAAGAAAGGTTCCATAGGAAACCCAGGTATAATGGCAAATACCTATAAAAAAAGAACCCAAACTCATATATATATTTACCTGCTCCGACTGTGAAGACCTTGTCGAAGTCAGAACAAATGGCCATTTGTTTGTAGAGCTGAGGTGACTGTGCTAGGTATGCATTGTTCTTGAAGTAGGAGACAGTGAAAACATTTGCGCCCCCTTCTGATGCAGCTGTAAGTAATACACACAGAAATGATTGACACTTCACGAAACTTAAAATTCTATTTTGTTGTCATTGGGGTAAATATGTCACAAAGAAAATCATAGCACTTACCTGATATAATTTTGGGTGTGTGGATCTCCACAAATCCCTGCTTTGTCAGCGAGTCCCTAAAGAATTTACAGATTCCAGCCTCCACTCTAAAGATGGCCTGGTTTGTAGTGGTGCGTAGGTCGATCACACGATTATCTAGACGAGTATCTTGTTTTACTGTAGCTAATTCCTGTAGTATAAAACTTCACAGTAAAACCTATCCATTTCAAAGTTACAAAGTTCTTCAAAAAACAAATGAGACACTGAATTAATTCTATTTTAACTTGTTTCTATTAGACAAAGATTATAAACAAGTAAATTTTATGTATAATAATAATGATTAAATTTATATGGAAATAACACAAGAGATAGCAGTGACTCACATCGTCAGGGTTGTCTGCTCTTGAGGCGTCCTCTACTAGTAGTGGTAGCCGTGGTAGAGCTGAGCTGACTACCCACACCTGTAAACAAACAAATAGATACCCTATCAAACAAGGGTAAAAGTTTCATTACCTAACAAATAATAATCTACTGGAACCCTTATTTTGAATTGACTCTCTTTGCTTCAAAAATATATCTCACACAGAATATTCAACCATTATGCTGGAATATTTTTTTTGAAAATTCATTAAGTTCAACTGTTGTTATTTTAAAATAGGATATTTCCCACAGGATAAAAGTTTTGCTTTGAATCTATCATTCAAAAAGCCACTCTGTTATTTCTAAATGAAAAAGTGAGTTTCCTGTATCAAAGCCAGACAGTCTTGATCATTATCTGCCAATAGTACATATTATCTGGAAAATTTTCTAATTAAAGAATAATACCTTTGAATCATTTTTCTGTACTGTGCAGACAAATAGTTTTAGATCATTTCAATTTAGAGTGAGATGTAAGGGATGTTACTGACCTGTTGACAGTGTAATTCTACTTCCTGTTGAGAACAGGAAGTGACTTTCTGGGAGACAGTCCTCACATATGCTTCCACATCTATGATAGATTCCTTCGTAACTCTACATCAACAAGTAAAATACAAGTCATCAGGCATTAAAGTCTACTGTGAATAATCATATTTGCAAACTTTGGGACTCACTTGTCTCTCTCAGATATAACACAGCACCACAAAACAATTCTATACAACTTTCAGTTTATCCGTTTAAAGGGTTATTTACTAGAATACAATGATTCATCAGGTAAGGATATAAACAGCATCAGAGTTAAGCATCATCAGCTTTCAAAATCAACAAAGCTCAGCATCCTCAGAGATCAGCATCCTCTGAGTTCAGCATCATCAGCTTTCAGTATCATCAGAGTTCAGCATCCTCTGTGTTCAGCATCATCAGCTTTCAGTATCATCAGAGTTCAGCATCCTCTGTGTTCAGCATCATCAGCTTTCAGCATCATCAGCATTCAGCATCATCAGTATTCAGCATCATCAGTATTCAGCATCATCAGCTTTCAGTATCATCAGAGTTCAGCATCCTCTGAGTTCAGCATCATCAGAGTTCAGTATCATCAGAGTTCAGCATCCTCTGAGTTCAGCATCATCAACGTTCAGTATCATCAGAGTTCAGCATCCTCTGTGTTCAGCATCATCAACGTTCAGTATCATCAGAGTTCAGCATCCTCTGTGTTCAGCATCACCAGCTTTCAGTATCATCAGAGTTCAGCATCCTCTGAGTTCAGCATCATCAGCTTTAAAAATCAACAGAGCGCAACATCCTCAGAGATTAGCATACCCGGAGTTCAGCATCATCAGCCTTCAACATCATCAGCATTCAGCATCATCAGCCTTCAGCATCCTCAGAGATCAGCATCCTCTGAGTTCAGCATCCTCTGTGTTCAGCATCATCAGCCTTCAGCATCAACTCTCTCTGATGCTGTCATAATGGATACTTTTACCTGATTTCTCTACAGCATACTTCACAGATAAAGAGTAAAGGGGCCTAATATCCTACCTAAATCCATGTATGATTCATAATGGATACTTTTACCCAATTTCTCTACAGCATACTTCACAGCTAAAGAGTAAAGGGGCCTAATATCCTACCTAAATCCATGTATGATTCATTTGGTTATTATTTTGTATATTTCAATCAATTCTCTAATTTAATATGAACAAGCAAGTCTCTAAATACATATGTATTCAGGTTTTCAAATATAAACAGGTATGTTATCACATATAATTTAATCAGACTAAATTGTTTCTCTTGATATAAAATCTCTCCAGCATCATTTCAAACCATAAGCATAAAATCTTAGTTAAATACTACCTAAGAAATTAACTTTACTCTCCAAACTTCTTGTAAATGCACTTCAAAGTGAACTCACTGAGTAGTAAAATGACCTTGTTACCTTTGGCCTGTTGTTAACTTGACCTGTCATCTCAACATGGCATATATTTCACACTGTGAACTAATCTTGCAGTAAACTTGATCCTGCAACTTCAGCCTTAATGAAGTTAACCTTGCATGTGACTTCATTCTTTGGTAAGCTTGATCTTGTGAACCAGTCTTGCAGTAAACATAACTAGGTGAACTCACTCTGTAGTAAACCTGACCCTGGGATCTCAATCTGCAGTATACTAAACCTTAGTGACCTCGTCCTTTAAGTACCTTGATCCTGTGACCTCAACCTACGGTTTACTTGACCTTGTGAACTCACCCAGCAGTAAACTTGACCCTGGAGCCTCAACCTACAGTATACTTGACCTTGTGAACTCACCCGGCAGTAAACTTGACCCTGGGGCCTCAACCTACAGTATACTTGTCCTTGTGAACTCACCCGGCAGTAAACTTGACCATCTGTTTGCTGACGTTGTCCCCAACATAAACGAGTGCCTGGACCGTCCACTTACTCTGTCTCAGCACAAAGAAGCATTGTTTACCTGTATAATAAATTAATGTTCAGTTATTAGAGTATTTAATACAGGTAGGTCTCGCATGGAATAATCAAGTTGGCACATCAGTCAGCTAATGACACAAGTATTCTACACAATTTGTCTGAAGATATCTGGGGAAGATAAATCATTTTAGCTAATTAAGTCCTACACTTCAACAATGAAGTCTTGTGGACAGCATGTGAAATGTCCCTTTTTGATTGCCTTGGCAAAGTTAGGTCAGTCACAAGGTAAGTGAATATTTAAATAAGAGTGAAAATTTCCGATTTACATGACCATGCTGATCAATCTTGTTTGGATATTTATTCTTTTGAATCAATGAGTTAAAACAATGAAATCTTTTCATTTCAATAAAAACAAGGCTGTCAGACAGGTTATGCTCCCTGAATGGGACAAAATTTAAGTATGAAAAATAACAAAAGGAAATAAATTATGCAAAAGAGAGTGATGGTTCTGGCACTGCACTTCTCCTTGCTGTGATCTATCTACCTATGATGTTTTATGTTGATATCACTTATAGTTTTTGCGTTATGAAGACAGCTTGCAATGATTTTCCTTATCTTATTTTATGGTGACCACCTCAGATTTCTTAAAAAGTATTGTAACATGGTAGGCATGAGGCCAGAATAATTAAGTTGGGTTTATAATGTATAAAGTAATATTATATAAGTTCAAACTGATCTAGTGGAGTACAGAATCAGTCTAAAATGTTTCATCCGACCAAAATAAAGATGTCTATTGTCATATACTCCTAATTGATCTCTAAACTTTCACATTAAAGAGCAAAAAAAATACCCATGCTCAAAACAATCTATAAGGTCAAAGTTAGAGAAGTTGGATGTTAACATTATGAGTTGTCTGATACCTTACCTTTACTCCTGCTTGTCTGTAGCCTTGCCCTAACCCAGACTTTCTGGTCACTAAGGTCAGGGGTCAGCTGTTTGAGGTCAACGATACGGCGGTCCGGCTTGCTTGCAGACTGGATCATTTCCATCATGCCATACTGTCCTTTAGACACATCCTCTCCTTCCTCCTGTACAACAGGAGATTTTTTTACATTGACAACAGAAATAACAAACTGAAGTTAAAACAAAGAAAGAAACCCCCATGTCCTGTGAGTTTTACCTTCTGGCCATGTTAACTAAATCTTGGAAACTTAAGCTTATAAAGCTAGACAACACTATTGTAACTTGACAACACAACATACTTCTGGTATTCAAAATTAATTGATATGTTTACCGTTGCAATTAAAATATTGTGTGCTACAAACATCATTTTAAAAGGAATCAACATATATTCAAAAGAGTCATTTTCTTAAATGTCAATTTCATTTCAGAGTATGTTAACGCACCTCATCCTGCTGCTGCTGTTGTTGTTGTTGTTGTTTATACTCTGCCTTCTTGGCTGCTTTCTCTGCATCCTTCTGGGCCTTCTTCAGAGCCTTCTTAGAAGGTCTGTAACAAAAAGGATTTAATCTCAGGAAGCTGAGAAATGGACCAGCCTGTGCTGATATGGATGTCTCATTAGGCAAACACTTTATCCTGATTGCTCTGGATGACATACAACTGTCCTCCCTTATGCTGTTCAGTGTGGAAGCCACCAGCTATTACAAGGAGACTGTCTGAAAATGACCCTGACTGTTCACAATAAGATTAACCCAACAAACAACTTGTTACCATCACATTCCAATTAAAATCACGTCTTTTCATAAAAAATGAGTCATGATATCAGGCAAGTTCTCACTGTATTCCAACGACATTTTCTTCAGGTTGGTAAGAACCATTGAATAAAGGCGTAGAATGTGTTTCAAATCACATATCTATATATTTAAATCTCAATTACAGTTTGTAATTTGTTATGATCGTCTGACTTTGTGAATATCTGCTGAAGATAACGTGATCATATATAGTGAATGACAAAAGAACATCCATTGGTTATGCATAATTACCTAGCATTTAGTCAAACTTTGTTATTTTGAAGTTGTTCGGGCCATTGGAAAACTTCAATTTATCCCAGTATTTGGTCTAAGTCAGACCGAATGTCAGGTGAAAAATTTGCTGGGACAGAATGAAAAGGGTTTTCAAATCACTTGAATTAGAGGTAAAGAGATTTAACTGTGTATATATACAGTTATCTATTAGAGCAGAAACAAAACAGAACTAGCCTTTCAGATTGGAAAATACATGAAATTAATGGTAACAATATCTCAATTTAAACTCCAAATCCAACAAATGAAGGCAAAAATAGGAAGTAAAGAATGTTTTACTTGGGGAACCCTGAAAAAACAACAAGAATAAGACCAGGTGTTCCAAAAGGGACGATAAAAGTATCTTTTAACTTCACATTTGGTTGAATATCTGTACAAGAACTTAGTCCGGTTAATTTTGGCTATTGATAAAAGGTAGATAACTCCTACAGAAACTGCGGAGGAAAAAACCTGTGAGCATACATCATTGTAAGTTGTCCAGTAAAGATTTGATTAACAAATGTTCAGACAGAAAAAATGACAGATTTAATGTGAAACAGGCAAACGGACAGACAATCGGAATTGGACAGATTTACACAGTAAAGGCAGATGGATGGACAATCTGACTCCTGTTTGCATTATTTCACTGCAAACAAGTAACGTAGATTTGGTAATAGGATACTGATACTGGAAATATCACCTGAGGTCATATAGTGTACGTCTGAATCAAGACCTTCTTATGGCTGTGTAGACAAGTTATAAACCCTTACCTACACATTGATGATTTATTTTTCTGTAAAAGCTAATGTTACATTAGGTAAGGAAGAAGTGGCTGATAGTCTTTTCTTACAATCATGAAACAGGCATAGTAGTCACTATTAATACCCCAGTATCAGCAGGGCAAGAATGTGTATCAATCTCTTTTGCTCATGAGATAGTATCAGTTGTTAGACTTAAATTGTGGCATAAGCATTTTTCACACCATTTTGTGTTACATTCTTTTTTCAACTGACTGCGATCAAATTCCAATTCAATGCACAATACACATCCCCCTTTTTTACACTAATATATATACCTGGTATTCTAAGTGCAGCATCTAATTCGAAGTAATTTGTTCTGGTCATAGAATGAAATTCATAGCAGCACTGTATAAAATGCCTTGGGACCTATCCACACGTGTCATCCATGAGTCTTTGTTAGAAATACTGTTAATTAGATTTTATATTTATTGCCAAGGAAATTTAAAATGTTCATTTCCTCAGGAATAACAAGATGGAGATTAAAAGATAGAATCCATCAAAAATCAAATGTCCCGTTTGACACTTAATTTTTTTTTCAATAAATTTGAGGGGAAAAAATCAGTTAATGATGCTGATTAAAGTTTTATTAAAACATTATAAGCACTTTAACTTGTCATGGCTGACTGACCATATAAAGTACCTGTGAACAGCAACAATTGATACTTTCCAACGGCACGTGTACCCTGTACAATCAAGAAATCTGACACTGGCATACACAATAGAGTTAGCTTTCTTGGAATTCTCTATTAACTCTCATTCTATGGATCAATTGACCTAACAAACCCCTGGATGTTTGTATTTAAAGTTTCACCAGTATACAGCATATTTTGATTCTTTATTAAACCAGGATATTCCCACAAAAAGAAAGATAACAATAACTATCATATTACTGTCTACTGTCTAAGATTTTTATTGAGTTGCCTATTTCTACATAAGATATAATTTAATGTATAAAGACTCTTAAAACTTGAGTTGAATGAGGTAGTTATATTCAAACTAACCTGAAATTAAAATCTTCAATGATTGCCGTACAATGACAAGAATGTAGGATTCACAATAATATATTATATTATTTACTTTACATTTAACTCCTAATGTCTCAAATCAGTTGGGTTGATTGTTTCCTGCTTGCTCACCAAAATGAATCTGTTCAGCTCCTTAAAATAATTGGGCAGTTCACAAAAGTTAGATATACACAATAATGTGCCAAACTTTTAACAAACAATGAAAGTTTGTCTTCAACCTTTTCAAGATATGATACCATATTATAATTCTTCCTTTTATAAAAGTATGAAAAAGCTGTGAATAACTAAAGAATCATTTTTCATCATTTTCAGATACCTTGGTGTAAGACATTCAACAGCCAGAAGTAAAGAACAATTAGTGTTCCTACAGATGTGTGTCTTCAATTAGTGTTCTTACAGACATGTGTCTTAAATAAGTGTTCCTAAAGACATATGTCTTCAATTTGTGTTCCTACAGACATGTGTCTTCAATTAGTGTTCCTACAGACAAATGTCTTTATCAAATTTCTCTTGCAGTTTCCCGCCATAAGTCAAACTCCACCTATACATCAACACCTTACAGGGTAAACAGCACCACACAAAATAATAAACTGTTAAACTTGTCTTTGATGTAATGAAACATTTTCTCACCAGGTGTCCGAGGTTCATTTCGGGTATCTGATCCTCATTAGAATTTCATCATTAAAGCCCCAGCATTTAAACTGTACCAGAATACCTAGGGTATCATTAATAGCTTACACAATGAACCAAATCAAGATCTTCATTTTACCTTTACAAGATCATACAAACAAAAAATCCAATAAAGAAAGGATGGATGTAGGCAACTATGAAGTGATCGCTAAATGTAGACCCATATTGCTACCCATCCGGAACCATAAGCACATTGGACAATGAAACACATTTATAAAGTAGAAATTTAAAAGTCTGTACTGAGACTAAATATACCAGACACACCATGGCAGGTAACAATTATGTGAACCAACGCGTTATATGACTCTAGAGAGCGATACACATTAAATAGGAAATCATATATATATGACGGAGACGTTCTTGAAACATCTAAGGAAAAACACGTGACAAAGGCGCGACTGACGACATTTAAAATAAAATGTGTTCTTATATCATTAACTCCCACCAGTACATCCAATCTACCAATCAAAATACACCGATTCTGGCATGTGACTATAAAAATGCAAAATGCAATGTACCTGCTATTGTCCGTGGTCTACCTGTCAGGTATACTGACACCTGGGGCTTTCTCACCTGCAACAAGCCATGTGGATGGTCTTAACCAGGTGTTAATACACTTTTAAACAGGAGCCTGATGTTCAAGGAGGCGGGCTTTTTTTTCTACTCTTATCTAGATACAACGTACGGAGATGTATGTGCAGTTGTTTACCATCTGACATACGAAACTCAAGTGTCTTGTCCAACGCACATAAACGGCAGCACGTCCTCGTGTAAAATCTGATCTTGTGTCAACTGAATGGGAAACTCACCTGCACTGGGTATATATATACTCGTCAGCACTACAAGATTGTAATCCAGTTTTACTGTCATTAAAAATTATCATATTTGATCCTCGTGCCAGTCTGACTTTCAACAAAAATGTTGACTTTAACTCATAAAAGTTTAAGATAAAAAAAATTTACAATAATTATCATGATAATATATTTCAGCTGTTCAGCCTCTCGTCACATGGTATATTTTTCAGCCGTCCATTACAAAACCTGCTGAGGTATTTACACCCTGCAAGATTGCCATCCTATAATGAAATGATATGCAAAGTAGATACAACTGATCAGGTGACAAAAACAAATTAATATGATTTATATGCACAGTCATTGTAACATTTTTCAGACAAAGTACTGATATTAAGAAAAATGTGTTTCACTTTAAAAAATGCTTTTGATCATCTAACAACATTCCATCATTAATACTTTAGGGCTAAAATGAACATAACAGCTTGTCTTCTCTCTGATAACATAATTATTCTGAGGACTCTGTTGTTCTGAAGTCTAGTATTTCCTTTTCTCTAGCAACTTTTTTTTAAATTTGCAAAATACATACAAACATTAAAGCCCACAAAATTTATAGATTTCCGATTATAAAATGTGAATATTCTTAAATACCAGTATATGGAATCAATCTCCACGAAAAAAAAAAAATCTTATTTACATAGAATTTTATTCATATAATGCTTTTAAGTACAATTTCATTGCCCGAATCTTTCAAATGGCAGATGAATAAAAAACATATATCACCAATTGTGAAGTTCAGCTCTTGCTTGTTAACCATTATCATACAGTTCCTATATTTTGATTGAATTTCCTGCCCAGCATTTATCATCTGGTCTAACTTTTTGTTGATGCTACTAAATGTCTGAATTTACATGATCATTCCTGAAATGTGGTAAAGTTCAATGAAAGTTTTTTTATTGTTTTGTTTTTGTTGTAATTATCAGTTGCCAAGATATTTTTCTATCAGTATTTAGACTTGCTTTACATCATATTATCCCTGTGGAATATGCTAGCTTGCTTGGCATTACCCAATGGGATCTTGTATTGCATGACATATAACCCCCAAGTACTTTTTCATTTCAGCTGTGGGTTGACCTGAACATTATCAAGATAAAGTAAATTTACTAGTACAATGATGGACAA